TGATAAAAGTCTTAGAGAGATCAGGGATACAAGGCCCATACCTAAACACAATAAAAGCTACATACAGCAAGCCAATAGCTAACATCAAATTAAATGGAGAGAAACTAAAAGCAATTCCACTAAAATCAGAGACAAGACAAGGCTGCCCACTCTGCATATCTCTTCAATGCAGTACTTGAAGTTCTAGCTAGAGCAATAAGAAAACAAAAGGAGATCAAGGAGACACAAATCAGAAAGGAAGAAGTCAAAGTATTACTATTTGCAGATGATATATTAGTATATATAAGTGACCATCAAAATTCCACCAGAGAACTCCTACAGCTGATAAACACCTTCATCAAAGTGGCTGGATAAAAGATTAATTTAAAAAAATCAATAGTCCTTTTGTATACAAATTACAAATGGGTTGAGAAAGAAATTCAGGAACAAATTACACCCTTCACAGTAGCCACAAATAATATAAAATATCTGAATGTAACTCTAACTATGCAAGTCAAAGATCTGTATGATAAGAACTTCAAGTCTCTAACAAAAAAATTAAGATATCATTAGATGGAAAGATGTCCCATCCTCATGGATCAGTAAGATTAACATAGTAAAAACAGCCATTTTACCAAAAGTAATCTACAGATTCAATGTAATCCCCATCAAAATAACAACACAATTCTTTACAGACCTTGAAAGAACAATTCTAAACTTCATATGGAAAAACAAAAAACCCAGAATACCTAAAGCAATACTATACAATAAAAGAACTTCTGGAGGTATCTCCATCTCTGACTTCAAGCTATACTATAGAGCAATAGTAATAAAAAAAAAAAAAAAAAATGGTACTGGCATAGAAACAAACTGGTTGATCAATGGAATTGAATTGAAGACCCATAAATAAACCCACACACCTATGGGCACGTGATTCTTGACAAAGGACCTAAAACCATACAATTGAAAAAAAAAAAAAAAAAAAAACACCAGCATCTTCAACAAATGGTGCTAGTCTAATTGGATGTCTACATGTAGAAAAAATGAAAATAGATCCATACTTATCACCCTGCACAAAACTCAAGTGCAAGTGGGTCAAAGACTGTAACATAAGACCATGTACACTAAATCTATTACAAGAGAAAGTGGGGAAGAGCCTGAACTCATTGGCACAGGAGACAACTTCCTCAACAGAACACCAACAGCTCAGGCTCCAATATTAACAATTTAATAAATGGGACTTCTTGAAACCGAAAATCTGTAAGGCCAAGGACACTGTTAATAGAATGAAAGAACACCGAGGAAATCCAGAGGATCATAATGAAATAACTTAAAAACCTGTACTCTGCCAAATTGGAAAATCAAAAAGAAATTGATAATATTCTCAATACATACCACTTACCAAAGTTAAATCAAGATCAGATAAGCAATTTAAACAAGCCTATAACCCTAGTGAAATAGAAGCAATAATTAAAAATCTCTCAGCCAAAATTAGCCAAGGGCCAGATGGTTTTAGCGCAGAATTCTATCAGATTTTCAAAGAAAGTTACATCTAAGGCCAAGACCACCTCAAAGAAGCCAGCTCTCCTCAAAGAAAGCTACTGCCAATACTCCCTAAATTATTGCAGAAAATAGAAACAAAAGGAACATTGCCCAATCTGTTTTACAAGGCCAGTTACCCTGATAACCAAAGCAAATAAGGACTCAACAAAGAAATAAAACTACAGGTCAATTTTATTTATGAACACAGATACAAACATTCTCAATAAAATACTTGCAAGCCAAATCCAGGAGAACATCAAAAAGATTGTCCACCATGATCACATGAACCACAAGAACACTTCATTCCAGACAAGCAGGGATACTTCAACCTATGTAAATTGGTAAATGTAACCCACCATATAAATAAACTTAAAAACCAAAACCACATAATCATCTCATTAGATGCAGAAAAGGCCTCTAACAAAATCCAACAACCCTTCTTGTTAAAAGTCCTGGAAGTATTTGTACTGAGAAGTGCAGTTTCTTTAAAAACCCAGTTGTGTTGTATAAACCTGTTTGTGTTTTAATCTAGGTGTGGAATATGGGGCTGCTTCAGACTTTCCACAGCAGCCAGCTATGATTTGTTTTGTACTCTGGCAGGGGCATGATTCTGCCAGGTGAAGCTAGTCTATGTTTGGACTTCTGGGGACTTTTCAGAGGGTATAAAAATGCCAGAGCCCCAAGATGCTGAGGTCGCTGCTGCTCCTTCTGTTGCTGCTGTTTCTGGATTGTTGGATTGCTGTTTGTTGCTAGTTGCTGGTTGGAGATATCCTGACAATGAAGATTGGACTATGCCCCTAGAAATTCGATGTCCCCAATCAGCAGGAAGTAGTCGAAAGGGATCTATGCCCTCTTTTCCCTCTAACCTTCCTTCTAACCCACCTAGTGTTGGCGGATTGAAAAGGATTAGAGTGGAGAAGAGTGGTATGTAAAAGAACCTAATAAAGTACCCAACAAGTATAGCTACTGATATTAGGGTACAAGGGCTATACCTCAACATTATAAAGGCAGTTTACAGCAAGACCATAGCCAACATCAAGTTAAGTGAAGAGAAACAAAGCAATTCCACTAGAATCAGAAACGAGATAAGGTTTTTCACTCCATAACTAGTCAATAACTAGTTATGACTAGTTATAAGGTTTTTCACTCCATATCTAGTACTTGAAATCTTAGCTAAAGCAATATGACAACTGAAGGAGATCAAGGAGATATCAATTGGAAAGGAATAGTTGCAGATGAAATGATAATATACATAAATGATCCTAAAAATTCCACTGGGAAACTCCTACAATTGATAAAACATTTACCAAAGTAGTTAGGTACAAAAGTCAGTAGCCCTCCTATCCACAAAGAAAACAGGGAATCACCTTTAACAGAAGCTACAAGTAATACAGAATATCTTTGGGCAACTCTAACCAAGAAATTCATAATTAAGTATGATTTAAAGAAACTTTAAAGCATTGAAGAAATTGAAGAGGTGATCAGAAGATGAAGAGATCTCTCATGTTCATTGATAGATAAGATTAATATAGTAAAATTGGGCATCTTACCAAAATTAATCTACAAATTCAATGCAATACCCATCAAAATTTTAACACAGTTCTTCACAGAACTTGAAAGGACAATTTTTCAGCTTCATATGGAAACAAACCCAGAATAGCTAAAACAATTGTGAATAATCAGTGGACTTCAGGAGGTATCGCTATCCTGATTTCAACTTGTACTACAGAGTTATAGTAATTAAAATAGAATGGTATTGGCACAACATACACATTGATCCATGAAATTGAATTGAAGACCCGGATATAAATCCACATGCTTATGGAAATCTAATTTTTAACAAAAAAGCCACAAATGCACACCAGAAAAAAGGTAGCATCTTCAATAAATGATGTTGGTTAAACTGGATGTCTGCATGCAGAAGAATGCAAATAGATCCATATTTATCACCCTGTGCAAAACTGAACCTAAATGGATCAAAGAGTTCAACATAAACCCGATATACTAAACTTGATAGAAGAGATCAGGATATAGAACTCTTGGCTCCTCCAGCACCGTGTCTGTCTGCATGCTGTCATGATTCTCACTATGAAGATAATGAACTAAACCTCTAAAACTGTAAGCCAGCCCCAATTAAATTTTATCCTTTATAAGATTTGTCGTGGTCACGGTGTCTCTTCACAGCAATAAAACTCTAAGACATACGTGTATGAAGGTGACCTAATGAAATCACCAAACAGTGGGGAAGACAGAATCTTAACCATCTCTTATCACCAGATGAAGCATTCAATATCAGGACTGGATTACATCTAATTGAGTTGTTGGCCAAAAGGGTCCCATGGGAATCCCCAAACAACCCAGGCTGTTGCTAAGACTATAGGTTGCTCTCCACAAACTGACAAAAAGCCCCCATTGCTGGAGATAACACCTACACAGCTCACTGAACATGAAGACATCAACCGGGTGCCTACAAAGGGCCCTCACCCCTTCACATACCAAATGCAATACCAGCACTTTGATCTACAATGCTGTCCTGTCCGCAGACATGCTAGGACAATGATGGCACAAGGCTTTTGGGAGCAACCAGTCGATATCTGATTTGACTTGAGACCCACTCTGTGAGTTGGAACCCATATTTGACCTTCTTTGGATCACCAGAAACTCTAAATAGTCCAAGGACCAAAGGTGAACAAAATCCTAGTGATCCAAAATAAAAGTAACAATAAAACAACTCCTAATGACGTTCTGCTATATTCATAGATCAGCGCCTTGTTCCACCAACATCAGAGAAGCTTCTTCCTACAGCAGCTGTAAACAAATACAGAGAGCCACAGCCCAACATGCCGGACACGTAGAGAGCAAGAGACCTTGGGACACTTAGCTGTAAATGGGATGCCTCCATCAAAACTCTCCCCTTATGCCTCAGGAAACTCTGTGGAAGAGGAGGTGTAAACAGTGTAAGAGCCGTAGAGGGTGGAGGACACCAAGAAAACAAGGCCCTTTAAATCAACATGAGCAAAGCGCGTATGAACTCACAGAGACTGAGGCAGCTTGTGCAGGGCCTGCAAACATCTGCCCCAGGTCCTCTGTACTAATATTATGGCTTCCAGTTGAGTGTTATTATGGGATTCCTGAATGTGACAGCAAGTGGGTCTCTGGCTCTTGGGCCTTCTCTTGAACTCTTTTCCTTCTGTTTGTTTTGTCCAATTCTGATGTGTTAGCTTCTATTTTATCATATCACATCATATATCATATCATATCACATCACATCACATCGTTATTCCTTAGAAGTCTGTTTGTTTTCTTATGAGAGACACAAAGTTAGTGGATCTGGATGGGAAGGGAGGATCTGGGAAGAGTAGAGGAAGTGGGAACCATAATCAGGATCAGAGAAATTAGAGCCATAGTCAGAGAAAAAAAATACATTTTCAAGAAAAGGGGAAAACAAACCAGCCAAATAAGGGTTCCTGCATACTCACCCCACCCAATCTGAATCGGACTTGAACACCAGCAGCAGTATCTAGGAACTCTGCCTGTAAGAAAACAAATGTCCCTTCAGCATCCCATGAGCATAATTTGGCTTTCTCACGCTGGCAATTAAAAAGTAATCACTGGTATTTACTATTTATAAAACAGGTCAGGTGAATGTGCTTCAAATAATTAGATTTAAATCATTTAAAAATGTTTTTAATTATGAGTACACATGAGTGCAGAGGTACCCATGGAAGACATAGGCGTTGGATTCCACTAAAACTGGAGTTACAGGTGGTTGTGAGCCACCCAGTGTGGTTGTTGGGAACTGAACTTGGGTCCTCTGGAAGGAAGAACAGTATGAGATCTTAACTGATGAGCCATTTCTCCAGTCCAGACATCATAAAATACTGAGAACTAAGGACTTATGGACAGCTCTTGGATAACTGGGAAAATACTACCAAACTCTCATTTCTGTGAAATATTTAAATACAAATCCTAAAATGAGTGTACACATGACTTTAATCCCAGCACTCAGGAGGCAGAGGCAGGTGGATCTCTGTGAGTTCAAGGCCAGTGAGCTCCAAGATAGCCAGAACTATATAGATAGAGAAATCCTGTCTTAAAATAATAATTAAAAAATAAAATAAGCACAAATCCTAAGTGACTTGTTATTTGTGAAAGAAACAAGTCCTCAAATATATGACATATACAAAGTATTACCTTATAAATAAATTCACACATAAAAAAAACTTATCTCACTAAAGCTCAACACTAGATGGACCGTTCCTCGCTAGTTTTTGCTAAGTCAAACAATATCCAAATTTTTGTGAGAATTGTTAATAATGGATCTTTTAAATGTAGTACCCTGCACCAAATCTATCTATCTATCTATCTATCTATCTATCTATCTATCTATCTATCATCTATCTATCATCTATCATCTATCTATCTATCTATCATCTATCTATCTATCTATCTATCTATCTATCATCTATCATCTATCTATCTATCATCTATGTATGTATGTATCTATCTATCTATCATCTATCTATCTATCTATCTATCTATCATCTATCTATCTATCTATCTACCTATCATCTATCTATCTATCTATCTATCTATCTATCTATCTACCTATCTAATCCCTTATGAGAAGACAGTTCAAATCTCTCTCCTTTATATTAGGTTAGATTAGAAAATAGGTATTATGGTTTGAAAATCAATTAATTTTTTCAGAATAATTTTCTTCCATCTAAAACCTTTACAAATTAAATATGAGTATAAAATAGTACGTAATTTTATTTGGATGGTGATGATATACATTCATACATATTCCAGCCTCCTGAAGGCTGTAATTAAAAGCGTGCATTACCACCACCAGAAATCAACAATTTTAAGTGTGTTGCTCCATGAAATTTTACACATTTGTACATTCCATGACTCTGTAAGTCATATAAAAATCATAACCATTTTAATCATTGTGGTCCTGTTGCCCCTCCTCGTTGGTTATCCTTAAATATCTCTTTATCTTTATGCTATCTGCTTTCAAATTTCTCACAAAAGGAATCACACTATATACTATTTTGGTGCCTGGCGTTTTGTTCAGCTTCAGTAGATGACGAAAGAATAAGATCCATCCATTAGATGCATGGGTTATTTTACATTGCTACTAGTATTTCATCTTACCAACTCTAGCTGCTCCCCATTTGTTCTGTCTATAACTTGGGCTACAAACAAAGCCGGTGTGAGTATTACTGGTACTTCATGTCTTCTGGTGAATCATTGAATTTACTTCCCTGGCTGTATACTCAGGAATGGAATAGAAGAGATTATGGCATATGTTGGTTGACTTTCTGCTGCTGTAACAAAATGTTGATGACTAGGAAGCTTTTTCCTTAGTTCTGGAGGCTATGGTATCAGCATCTGCAGAAGGCCTTCCTGCATTGATGACATCATGTGACAAAAGAGCAAGGATACAAGCTTCGGGTTTTCTCTCCTCCTCTGAAGGGCTAATTTCAGCACTTGGAGGCAGGAGCTGATGCGGAGGCCAGGGAGGGGTGCTGCTTACTGGCTTGCTATGTATGCATGGCTTGCTCAGTCTGCTTTCTTGTGCAATCAAGGACCACCTGCCCTGAAGTGGTACTATTCAAGGCCATCCCACATCAACCATTAGCACATCAATCATTATCAAGAAAACGCCCTACATATATGCCTCTTCCCAAATGACCTGAGCTTATATCAAGCTGACAAAAAACAAACAACAAAACACAAAACAGGGTAGCACCTCAAGACATGCTTCCAAAAGTAGAAGCTTACGCATGATGCTGAACTCAAAATGAACACGCTTAGATTAGAAGGAAAAGGTTGTAAGCGACTGGCAGGTACAGTGAGCTGGGGAATATTTTGCGCTGTTTGCTTTGTGGTAATTCATTTAACTATATATTTATGCTTTCTGGGCATTCTACATGCATGTAATAGTTCAGTAAAAAGTTTGTAAAGAAGCAAACATGAAAACATTGAACTAATAGGAAGTTCTGGGTCAGAAATGACAATCTTACCTCTTTAGGGTTAATGTACCTCATTATCTGATGTGGTTCTCCTTGTCTTCTAAAGTTAATCAGACTTTTAAAATGCTGGAATATGGCAACATTCTAAAGAGTGAAAACAGATTTTTATGGTTAAAACTAGGTTCTCTGCTTTCCTAAAGGTATTATTATGATTTTAATTATTTTAGTATTTATTTATTTGGGACAGGGGTACTACAGCACACATTTAGAGGACAACTATCAGGTGTTGGTTCCTTCTTTCCCTATGTGGGCCTAGGGATAGAACCCAGGTCATTAGCTTGCTAGTAATTGCCTTTACCCACTGAGCTATGTTACCAGCCTTGGATTTTCTCCTTTTTTATTAGCTGTTCATATAACTGCACAGAAACACAGATCTGAATAGCCTAGTAGGACAAGAGAAAGGAGGCCTCAAACTAAAACCGTTTTAGGGAGAGCAAAAATTCCTCCCCCCTGTGGCTCAGCTGAGGCAGTCAACACTGAAAGGTAAAATCTCTCATGTAATCTCTCCCCAGCTCCTAAAGGAGACTGGTGCTATCTGAAGTCAAAACTCCTCAAGGACACTATAAAAGAGGGGGGATGGAGAATATAAGGGAGGAGGGGATGTTAGATACAGCCCAGCACCCACTTTCTCTGAAAAGAACCAAATTAAAAGACATAGCTATATAATGAGGTGAGTGACTTTAGGAGATGATTTAGGACTAAATGAGAGCAACAAAGGAGGATGTAGGGAAGGAAGAAAGAAAGGAGGGAAGGAATAAAGGAAGGAGGGAGGGAGGGAGAAAAGGAAGGAAATTAAGATCTCGGAGAGTTGACAGCATAGAAAGAAAAACATTTCTGCAACTTTCATCGTAGCTCCATACCTACAGAGGGAAGCCCCCCCCCAGCTGCAGGAGAGGGTAAATGGGAGAGTCCCTGTAGACTCTCTCTTATTTTTTTTAAAGATCTATCTATCTATCTATCTATCTATCTATCTATCTATCTATCTATCCATCTATCTATCTATCTATGCTATTATGTATCCTGTGTTCTGCCTGCATGTACACCTGCAGGCCAGAAGAGGGCACCAGATCTCATTATAGATGGTTGTGAGCCACCATGTGGTTGCTGGGAATTAAACTCAGGACCTTTGAAAGAGCAACCAATGCCCTTAACTGCTGAGCCATCTTGCCAACCCCCCTGTAGACTCTTGTCAGCGAGGATGCAGGAAGCCTTTGCTATCAAAAAAGCTTCACAGCTCTTCCAGGCTGGCAGTTAGATAAGCTACCATGACTCTGTAGAGCATCTGTGTTTTGGACAAGGACTTCAGTGTCTCCAGGTGAACAAACAGGCTTGCTATAGCTAGTGGCACCTGGAGACATATACTGTTGTGTAAAGTTGGAGTGTTCTAGGGGTCAGAAATCCCTGTGTACCCCTCCCCTCCAGGGTTCCATAGACACCTACTACCCTGGCTTGTAGGGTGGCTGCACTGCAAACTCAGAATCGCTTGCAGAATCACTGTGTCCTCAACTAGTTGGATGCTCTGCATTTTAAAGGATGGACTTTTGACATGACCAGGAAGAGAGGGCACAGACCTTGAGAACCAGTAGACTTGTACTTGCATTCTGAGGCCCAGAGCATGGCAGCTGCTTGTGGACCCTGAAGCAGAGACCTACAAAGGTCATTAGAGCTGTAAGGAAATGCCGTGGTTCCTGCTGCAAACACATTCACATATGCTTGCTAAAGGGGCTCTAGCCAGCCCTCTTTCTCTGGATCTATATTACCATAGGAATGGCAGAGAGAAATGCCTTGGCTCCAGCTGTCCTACCCCTGTGTGCACTGACACTGAGGCGGCAGAGAGCCTGTCATGGTGCTTCAGGCTTCTCAGCACTGCTAGAACTGCCACAACAAATAGGCTTTGCTAGAAACAGAGCACAGCAGAGCCTCAGGAAAAACCATCGTTTGCTAGAGGCTGCCATCCCCACTGTGCTGTAGCCATACCCGCTCCTACTGTTGCTCATGTCACAGGTACCTGAACCACTATTGTCCCCACTCTTGTAGGCCTCCAGAGACAGTGAGTCTCTCTAGCAGCATCTAGCAAGCTCTCCCTGGTATGTACTGTGTCCAAAGGCATCCCTTCTAGTTAAAGAAGCTATGAGGAGGAGGCTGTGGTGCCCAGTGGGAACAGGGCCACTGGTGTGCACTAGACTCATGCTGCTGGACACATCTTCTGGAGCAGGCCACTTGCTAAGAGGCTACCCCATAAATTAATGGGAATACCAGGTGGCAAATATCAGTGTGGGAGCACAAGAGAGGCAATTTATTGGCTCCAGAGACCTACAGGCTCACTATGTACAAAATACTTGACAAATGTCAAATAATGATCGTAAGGATACCCAGTGAGATCCATCAGGAGGCAGACTGGTAGTTAAGTGAAGAAAATGTTTAAGAGAGTCCTAAACTCAAAGGTGAATGAAAGATAGCTAGCATCATGACAGCACATGGAAGCATAAACCCAACTAGAGCCTGCAAACAAAAGGAAAATGAAAAATCAGTCTTCATCAAATAAGAGTAAACCATCAATATAATAAAATTACAAAGAATATTCAGCACAATTACAAGAAAAAACTCAGGGAGCTTTAATTATCATTAATAACCTTAGATGTAAATTAACTAAATTCTCCAATTAAAAGATACAGAGTTGCTGGACGTGGTGGCACACACCTGTAGTCCCAGCACTTGGGGAGGCAGATGAAAACAGATCTCTGTGAATTCAAGGCCAGCCTGTTCTACAAAGCAAGGACAGCCAAGACTATGCAGAGAAACCCTGTCTGGAAAAACAAAAAACCATCAAGCAAAAGGTTTACAGAGTATTTCAACAGATTTAAAAAACAAGACCAAACAATATTCTGCCTGAAACTTATAAGAAACTTAAGCCACCAGTGAAGACACAAAGGGGCTGAGAGCGTACAGGGAGAATGGATGTGAAATTTAAAGTAAATGCAAACTTAAAACAAGCGAAAGCAGCTGTTTGGGTGTTAATAGAGTTACGCACCAGCACAGGTTTTATGGCTCTTCTAGAGAATGGTAGATTTGCAAGATTTGATCTGATGGTAGTATTGTGGACTGGAAGCAACTGTATAACTTGGCACAAAGCCACTAGGCACATTGACTGAAGGGACCCACTGCAGGGGTCCCTTTCTGGCCCCCAGATTAAGCAGAGACCACACCCAAACACCAATTTCCAAGCACAAACCAAACACAAAGAGATCCCTTTATCCAGCAAGAGGCAAGGCGCCTGACTCTGAGTCCTACAGAAACAGCAACAAATAGCTTTGCTAGTATTAATGTTAAGAGCGGGGAGAAGAGGAGCTCTGGGTTAGAATGAGCTAAAATGAGTTGATAAGTTCTGATTTGGTATCTTAAATAGGATAGTCAAAATCATGAAGTCTGATTGCTAGACCGTGGTGTTTTCATAGCTGGATCTTGGTGCTCAGACTCAGGAATGAGTTAGGCATAGCAAAGTGGTCAAATAAGGGAGCAGACCTTGGTGGGTAACTTCAGGAATGCAATCTAACAGTTTAGCAAAGGAGAGAGAAGGGGAAGGGCGAACCCTGCTGGAGCCATGTCTGCTGTGCTCAGCCCTGCCAGAGCCCTTCAGTGACAGGTTTGCTACTGTTATGAGAAGAAGTGACGTCATTTTCCCCCTTGGCTGTCGCCCAAGCTGGTAAGTAAACTTGGAAAATTACTTCTACTTATGAGACCAATTCCATCCGTGTTAAGAGCACAATAAATGAGCAATACAATAGCCCAGATAAAATATGCCATTAAACCATAAGATCTTCAAGAGTACTCAATAAATATTGGATGAGTAAATATGCCTTTACCACTTTGTTGCAAACATGATGGCTGAGTCAAGAAATAAAGAATATCAGAGGTCTTCACCAACCCTGTATCTGCCAGAAGGCTAATATCCAGAGTATATAAAGAACTCAAGAAGTTAAACACCAACAGATCAAATAAACCAATTAAAAAATGGGATACAGAGCTAAACAGAGAAGTCTCAACAGAGGAATACGGAATGGCAGAGAAACACTTAAAAGAAATGCTCAATGTCCTTAGTCATCAGGGAAATGCAAATCAAAACGAACCTGAGATTCTACCTTACACCCATCAGAATGGCTAAGATAAAAAAACTCAAGTGACAACACATGTTGGAGAGGATGTGGAGAAAAGGGAATCCTTCTCCATTGCTGGTGGGAATGGAAACTTGTACAATCACATTGGAAATCAATCTGGTGCTTTCTCAAGATTAGGAATAGTGCTTCCTCAAGGTCCAGCTATACCACTCCTAAGCATATATTAAAAACATGCTCAAGTATACAACAAGGACATTTGCTCAACCATGTTCATAGCAGCTTTATTCATAATAGCCAGAATCCTTCAACTGAATGTCCTTCAACTGAAGAATGGATACAGAAATTGTGGTACATTTACCAATGGAATAGTACTCAGCAAGGAAAAAAAAGGAAATGATGAAATTTGCAGGCAAATGGTGGGAACAAGAAAAGATCATCCTGAGTGAGGTATCCCGGAGCAGAAAGACACACATGGTATATACTCACTTATAAGTGGATATTAGATATATAATATAGAATAAACATACTAAAATCTGTACACTTAAAGAAGCTAAAAAGAAAGAGGACCCTGGGTAAGGTGATCAATTATCATTCAGAAAGGCAAACAGGATAGACCTCAGAAGATGAAGAAAACAGGGAACAGGACAGGAGCCTACCACAGAAGGCCTCTGAAAGACTCTACCCAGCAGGGTATCAACACAGAGACTGAGACTGATAGCCAAACTTTGGGCAGAGTGCAGAGAATCTTATGAAAGAAGAGGGAGATAGAAAGACCTGGGGGAGACAGGAGCTCCCAAAGGAGATCAACAGCCAAAAAATCTGGGCCCAGGGCTCTTTGCGGAGACCAATACTCCAACCAAGGACCATGCATGGAGAACCCCTAGAACCCCTGAACAGATGTAGCCCATGGCAGCTCTGTGTTCAAGTGGGTTTCCTAGTAATGGGAACAGGGACTATTTCTGACATGAACTCAGTGACTGGCTCTCTGATCACCGCTGAGGAGGTGGGAGCAACCTTACCAGGCCACAGAGGAAAACAGTGCAGCCATTCCTGATGAGACCTGATAGGCTATGGTCAGAGGGAAGGGGAGGAGGACCTTCCCTATCAGTGGACTGAGGGAGGGGCAAAGGAGGAGATAAGGCAGGGGGTCCCTATAAGTGGACAAGGGAGGGGGCTACAGCTGGGATACAAAGTGAATAAATTGTAATAGATAACTTAAAAAATAACTTCTTTAATTTCTCCCCAACCAAAAAAAAAAAAAAAAAAGAATATCAGAGGTCAAAATTGAATGAGACTGTTAGTGACAGATTTATGGGCATTATCAAAGCGTCTGCCCACATACAGAAGCTTCCCAGAAATCAGAGGGGCAGCTCAGTGGATAAAGTGCTTGCTCTCCAGTACCCACATAAAAGAGCTGAGTGTGGCCGGCAGTGGGGGCACACACCTTTAATCCAGGGACTTGGGAGGCAGAGGCAGGTAGATCTCTCAATTGAAGGCCTGCCTGGTCTACAGAGTGAGTTCCCAGATAGTCAGGGACACACAGAGAAACTCTGTTTCGAAAAACAAAACAAAAAAGCTGAATGTGATGAGACAGAATAACCCGGTGGTGCTGGAAGCCAGAGACAAGTGAGTCAGTGAGGCTTGCTGGGTAATCGGGTTCCTGTCTCAAAAATAAGGTGGGCGATATCCTGAGGAACAATGTCTGAGGCTGACTTGTGGCCTCCACATGTCTGCATGTACAAACATGTCCACACATGCCTACACATGTCTACATCCATGCACATAAAAACCGTTTTAACTAAAAAGAATGTAAATGTTTGTGAACCTAATGTGATAATTCTAACTTCTGAAACTGAATGGTGAACTTCTAAGCTGAAGGGCGGGCCAAACATGGGCAAATACACTACAGAACTGTTGAACTGCACACACTTTACGTACGTACATTTTGTGAACTGTAAATCACCTCTCAAGGGATCAAGTAAATGAACTCACAAGAAAGTTTTTCCAGGCCCTCTGAATGGTTTTTGCAGCCATTTCCAGCCTTTCAGGTTCTTGGAGTGGTTCCTCAGGCATTTGGAAGTTCTAAAAGAAAAATAAGCAAAATGGGAACCTTGAAATAATTGTATGTTTCACTATGAAGCTGTCTCTGGAACTCAATGGAAAGTAAGTTGTCTAAAGGAGATGAAATGAGACTGGGTATTTAAACGATATTCCTAACCGATTACAGTGTTTTTCAACAAGTATTTTGCATGGGAGATTTTTCAAAAGATCTGTTTGTGTGTGAGTGCGTGCGTGCGTGTGTGTGTGAATTATGAAGTGTCCCCAGCTACTGGAAGGGGACATGGTCTCTTGGAACTGGAATCACAGTCTCTTGAGAGCCGCCTGATGTTGGTGCTGGGATCTGAACTCTGGTCCTCTGACAGAGCACTGACTTTTAACCACCGAGCCACCTCTCCGCTCCCTGCATGGATTTTAATGTGCTTGTGCCAGACTGAACTTTAAGATTTAAGGTCAAATAGTAAATAACTGGTCAGAGTTGAGTCTGTTTAGGGCTTTAAAGCCTGTGACCTTTCCTTTATCAACATGTGTAAAGAAACAGCTGTAGCCACGAGCTTGCCTAAGCCCTAACCTAGAACTTCGAGTTGATTACAGACTTTAACTATGGTGCCTACTTTATAGACCACACTTTACATTTTTAAAAAGATGACACTTGAACTTTCACTAAGGAGTGAAGCAAAATCACTACATGTACTTCACAATGTTATTATTTATTTATTTATCTATTAAGAGTAGTACAGAAATCAGAGAGACACTCTAGCTCCTGCTCCTTCCCAAAGCTTCCACAAAATGCGCACTAATACGTAAGTGGATGTCAAGTTGTGCCTTTCTGAGGTTGTTCTCTGGGTCAGACTCCATTCCTACGTCAGCATAGGAGATAAAATGAAACCCGAGGGGGGGGGGGGGAGGGTTTGGGCAACTTCTTGTTTTGCAAGCATGAAGATGCCCACCCTCCATAGAGAGCAGGAAGCCATGGCCATCTGTAACCCCAGCCCTCAGGGGCACAGTCGGGCAGGGACGGGAGGATCCCAGGGTGAGCTAGCCTAGAAAAAATGGTGACTCCAGGTTCACCAAGCCTGTCTCAACAGAAAAGAAGGGACTGGAGAGATGGCTCAGCGGCCAAGAGCATTGCTGCCCTTTGAGAGGACTGGGTTCACTCCTCACCAACCCTCATCAGGTGGCTCCCAGCTGCTTGTAATTCCAATCCAGGGGATCCGGTGCCTCTGACTTACGTGGGCACCTGCACTTGTGTCCACATATCACCTTCATTCTCTCTCTCAAACACACACACACACAACTGAGTGGAGACTTTCCCAGACATTTTACCTTGCTGTAGCGTACAGCATGAACTACATATAGTCGGGGGCTTGTAAATATATACGTGTATATATCTTAGTTTCCCTCTTTTCTAACAATTTTACATGATCTGATTTGTGCTTTTAAAGCATCACCCTGAAAGGGTACAAAAGACACATGCAAAGCCCCAAGCCATCACTGTTGCTTAGCCAGGCATAAAGAGTCAGAATAGATCAGACTTCCAAATCAGTCCTCAGAACACCCCCTTAGCTATGCTCTCCGCTATTTCCGTATGTCTGAGGTGGCCTGTGTCTACTGCGGTGCCCCCAGCACTGGTACTCCCGATACTTCAGGCTGCCCCATTTTCCCGGGAGTGGCGGCAGGGAGTGCCCTGTGCTCGGCACAGTGCTTGGTACAAGTCCTCCTTCACTGCCCACACGGAAAGCCAGTGCTGTCTCCAAAGGGCAGGGTTGATGGTTCGGAGGGTAAAGGCACTTGCCACCAACCAGGTGACGTGGACCTGAAGACGGAAGGAAAACCTGCATGAGGCTGGAAGGGAGGGTGCCATGGCACACCTGTGCTTACACAGAGACACGCAAATAAATGTGAAGTTAATGTCTCCAGCGATTAATTGCTGCTCTTGAGCTGTTCGCTGTGCCTGCGTGGAAGGAAGAGGAAGGGCTGGGGCTGCAGCTCAGTGGCAGGGCGATTTCCAGGAACCCACGGTTCAGTTCCCAGCCCTTCCAGGAGAGTCACAACAACGGTAAAGGAGAGACTATGGCTAACGTGGCCCATCTCCTCGCAATCCCTGCGGCTGAGACTGACCAGAGGAGCCTTTGCATCGCGAAAGCCGTCAAGAGTTTTAAATCGGTATTTCTTATCCTTCTGGTTGACTTCAGACTTAGGGATAGTGCCGTGAAGTGTTAATAATGCAGATTAAAGGTGTAGTGTATACATTACCATTCCATTGCGAATAGCACAGCGACGCAGAGAGGATCCTGGGGTACGCTGGCGCTTCAGTAAAGGAAAAAAACCCAAAAACCAAAGAGCTCAGCGTGCTCGGTTGTACTGAATGTTGCTAATGTACTAAATGGCAGGTCAGGCCAATGAGCATGAGTAAAGTCAGTAGCGACTCCTCTCTCTCTCTCTCTCTCTCTCTCTCCCTCCCACATCTCTCTCTCTCTCTTTTGAGAGAGACACAGAATTTCATCATGAAGCCCAAGACGCTCCTAAACCTCAGAGCTTCGGTCGCCCAACTGCTGAGGTCACAGGCAGTGTTGTGGAAGGGAAAGCCGGAGGTCGTCGAGGAATGGGACAGTAGGGAAGGGCTCTGGAATGCTGTGTGGAAGCAGCAGCAGGAAGACAGGGCTGGATCCAGACGGCTTCTCTTTTTTAAATATGAGGCACTGAAACACGAGGAAACGTTGTTAGAGGAGGAGGAATCAAAGAGAGGGTAAAGGAAACGTTCAGTTCTTTGCGCAGGGGGACGAGGTCGTCTGCTGTGAGGCTTCATTCAAACTTATTTCATAAGTGGAAATACTTATCAATTCTAAGACGCAGGGAGCACAAGCGCACCATCGCCAAGTCATGCTCTTACCACACCCAGGCACGAACTGCCAAGTCGGAGGAGCCAATCTCAAACCAAAGGTAGGCCTGCAAGGCAAATCCAAGCCAATACCTTGTCACGTGTTTTCCTTCCACTCAGAACCCATACTCCCATTCTCTTCACTGAATTTTGTTTTTTTTCAACAACTATGTCTTCATTATTTTGCTTTTGCGCTTTATCTCTATACCTTTAGAGTGAGGGTCAAGACAGAAAACAACAGACACCCTGCTCTTGTACCCTTCACAAGGCTCCCTCCACCTCTGGATAGTTAGGGAGAAAAGCTAGCGCCATGTACCATGTAGCGCCTTTGACAGGGTGTGGGGAGGAATCCGGAGGTGCGGGCCGGTTCGCGATCTCTCCAACGCTGATTTAGGGATGGGTGAGGCAGAGGAAAGCTTTCCCATCAGACCAGAGCAGTTGCTCCCGGAGAGGGGTTTGGGGAACAGAGCATCTGTCTATGCCAAGATGGACACGTGGGTGTTCAGGGTTGTGCAACCGGCCAAGCTCAGATCAGCCGCCACAGCGGAAAGGAGCCGGGGAGGGGATACTTCCCTTGACTTGCCAGCCTCGCTCTCCGCTCTCCGCTTGTTTCCTTAGTGACCAGGAGGACGTGGTGGGAAATGACTCAATAGCTCCTTCCATCTCAACCGTCTTCTCAGGCCCCGCCCCCAACCTGACCATTCTTCTCCCTCAGATGTTTAAGCCTTAGTCTGTGATGATGGTTAGTTCTGATAGAAGCTCCTCACCCCTCTTTCATTCTCGGGGCCGCAGAGGCGAACGATTTGAGAAAGGAACTCAGAGGGATCGCCTGTAGGTGATAGGCCTTGCCGAAGGCCTAAGAGTGAGTGACACGAGGCCTCATTCTAATGCCGTTTAAACTCCTTGGTGAAACACAGGTTTTAAGCAAAAACAGAGGGCATCACAGAGGGCATTAAATAAGCATACTGCATAGTTGATGTGTGTTTCATTTACTTGGCTGCTGAATATCGCATAGGCAAGTGTAACAACGAAAAATGAAGAATATTCAGACCTTCCCACTTCTATGTTCCTTCAGTGTTCTTGCATGGGACATAATTTGTGAGGAAGATGAACTTCTAGGGAAATGTTTTCCTTCTAGGGGGGGAAAATCGCTATAGGGAATTCAGTGGCAATGTGAGCTTCAGGACTTTCAAAGCCATTGTCAGGGTCACCATAAAGAAGGCCATGGGCTTTGGTTCTCCTTAACACACGGACATGAACAAATTCTAATACTTGGGCCTTATAATCTATCAAAAAATGGGTTCAAATTTTTATATTAAATAAAGTTAGGTTTTTTGTTTTATTTAATTTTTTTGTTGTTGTTATTTTGGTATTGGGGAGGGTTTTGTTTTGTTCTTTTTGGTTTTGGTTTTTTCGAGACAGGGTTTCTCTGTGTAGCCCTAGGCTGTCCTGGACTCGATTTGTAGACCAGGCTGGCCTCGAAGTCACAGAGCTCTGCCTGCCTCTGCCTCCCTGAGTGCTGGGATCACAGGCATGCAACCGCGCCCGCCTAGTTTTGTTTTTTTTCAAGACAGGGTTTCTTGGTTGTAGCCCTGGCTGTTCTTGAACTTGCTCTGTAGACCAGGCTATGCTAAAAAATTTGAATCATGGTCAAAGCCATGTCATGTCTGCAGAGTTTCTCTAATCCCCCATCTTAGGCCAGGAACACCAGATTCTCTCTTTTGTGGGATGATTTTATTTTGTTAGCCAAAGAATTGTGGGATATTGGTAGGTGTATCCTTGCAAACTGTTCTAAAAACACAAGACCAAACAAAGCACTGCTTTCTACAATTTCTGGTGCTGAAACCACTCTCACTGTGGGCAGTTTCAAAGAAGCCGTAAGACGTCTCAGAAAGTCTGCTGGAGAGCAACGTTAGCTCGTCCACACGAGCCTCGTTCCAAACCATCTCTTCTTTCCCAAAACCCGTTCCTTATTCCCACACAGTCCGTGTATTCTGTTAGGCCGTTCCTAGAGCTCCAGTCCGTGTCTCCTGGGTTTCAGTTGAGCGCTGTCCGGCTGTGATACTCCCACCATTCCCCTACAGGACTCAGCCTCGCCGAACAGGGTCCAGATTTTTTTCCTCTGCTTAAACATGCTTAAAATGGGGTTGATCACAACAACGGAGAGGAGGGGGGCATAGCTACGGCTGCCCTTGTCGGGTGAAGCTCTGGTCTGGCAAGAGCTTCCGCTCTGTGTGACGGGCCTCTCCCCGCTCCACAACAGCACGGCGACATCTGTGGGACCAGCAGATGGCGCTGTTCCTCGTCTTCCAGGCTCAGGACCAGGCTAAGGACTGAGGCAGTTGGGGATGGGGATGGGGTGGGGGTGTTGAGCGGATGGGGGATTTGTTGGGCTTTGAGGAGACCGACGGTGGCCCAGGTGGCTTGGAGCTCGGAGCTTGGGACCTGGGGGTTGGGGGTGCAGGTGGACTTCTAGGGAAAAGGCACCTTTAAAGGGGAAGGCTGGGTTTGTGCGCCCCTAGGGAACCACGGGTGAGGTGAGGCTGACGGAAGGAGCTCGGTGAAAATTTCAATTCTGGTTCCCAAACCCTCACCTCCTATGAGAAAAGTAACGAGGCCTGGAGTAGAGTCTTAGGCCTAAAGCCTGTCTGGCGGAGCCTCACCCCTTCCCACCATGCTCCCCAGCACGCCCAGATCAGCCGCTCTAGGTGGTGCTCAGGGAAGGAGTGGACTTTAGAGGGGCCTCGGGCTGTCTTGGTGCATCTCCTTGAGGGCCCAGGGCTCCTTGTGCTGTTCTCAGCCTAATGCCCTGTGGCAGTGGCCTTTGCTCCTTCCTCCGCAGCTACCGAAAGGGAGGATTAAAATCCACGCGTGCGTTGAGTGTAACCGCCCAGGCTGAGTTTGGTGAATGGGGCTTGCACCAGAAGCAAGAGTTGTGGAAAAGAGCTTGTTTGCCACCACCCACTCCGTGGCTGTGAGCTTTAAAAATTAGTTTTTTTTTTTTTTTTTTTTTTGAAGTGGTGTATTTTTTTTTTTTTTCTATTTATGCCCAATAGGAACAGAATGGCCACAGCAGCAGTCTCAGTTGAGTTATTCATGAGGAAATGGAGAGGGCTCAGGTGGGAGGAGCACTGGCTGCTCTTGCAGAGGACCCAGGTTCAGTTTCCAGCACCCACATGGCAGCTCCCAATCACTCATAACTTCGGCTCCAGGGAATCTAAATCTCTTTTCTGGCCTCTGTGGGCCCCAGGCAGGCGTGTGGGGTACTAACATATATGCAAGCAACACTCATACACAGAAAATAAATAAAATCTTAAAAAAAAAAAACCAATCAGTTTAGACGAAGTCAGTCATAAACATACCAGGGTACAGGTATGTCTTGCTTAAGACAAAATAAATAGCTTCCCATTTTTATTAAGAAAATTTGCTTTATTAAAAAAAAGTATATAATAAATCCGTATGACAAAATTCTAGACATAGGTTTTTAATACAGAACTGTGAAAACATAAATATCCATTTTTCCTTCTTATACCCTCTGTGCATTTATTCTTTTACCATGTTGACATTTTAATTTTACAATCTGATTTATATTCATAGTCAAAAAACAATTTGGATATTATAGAAAGGTATAAAGCAAAAAGCAAAAATTCCCTTCTCTTTACACCTTCCCCAACACTGGCAGTTTGTCCTTTAAACCCAACCATTGTCTTTTTGTCTTTGGTTTCAGGTTCTACATCCTGAGCCTTTGGTTTTTACTGAACACAACACAGAAAGTTTTCACTACTGCATAATTAAAACTGCTTTGTTCTTGTCTGTGGTGGCACCGCGTTCCCCCACTCGTCTGCATCTATCTGGGCAATGCCCCATTGATGGGTGATGGCCACTCAGTGTTTGAAGCCACAAACACTGTAGACAGTTTACTCGAAATGTATCATTAATTCTCTCTTTTCAAAAGTCAGATTGAAATTTTTTTTGTTAAGGTTGAAATGTAGTTATATCATTGTCCCCTTTCCTCCCTCCCACCCCCTCAGGTATTTCCCTCTATTCTTTTAATTCATGGCCTCCAAAGCCAGATATATTTTAATAAAAATTTCAGTATTAAAAGTGGCTAGTGGGCCTATGTGGCTAATAGGTGGGTTGAAAGGGAAGGAATCAGGGCTTAAAATTCCAGGTTGTTTCACCAAGATACATCCAAGTTAATAAACCAAAAAGCCAAGTAAAACTCACTTCAAGGGCTCAAATTGGGGAGATGTGGGGTTATCTAGGTTTCTTGATAGACTTGTTACAGTTTGGATGTGAAATGTCCCTGCAGGCGCATGTTTCCAAGTCTTCAGTGAAATGTTCCAAGGTGGGGCGCTTTAAGCTAAGAATCATGGGAACTCTGACAAGTCAATAGAAACTGCCTGGTTTGTCTCAACTTGCTTTTAACTTCGAGGACTGTTCAGCATAAAAGGCAACAATTTAAAAGACTTAACGTGTCTCTAACAAACTACCATTTGCTTTCTGGACCTGGGGTTAAAGAGGGCAAAATGAGGGAGGCAGCCTTTCTTCCGACACGGATCTCAATAAACCCTACTCTCTATGCACAATGTAAGTCAGACTCAGATGCTCCACAAGCGGGCCTCAGGACAGCTTGTCCTTTATTTCATACCCCACAGGGAGGCTTTGAATTGGTGATGGGATATTTGTCTCGATGATACACTACTGTGATCTAGTTAAAACATAAATTCTTGTGTTCTTGGTCTTCAGGAGAACAGATATGACCAAGTGAAGACTTCAGATGAGGGAGTGCTTTCACTCTGGGGGTGTGGGCAGTCCTTGTGTTAACAGTGCATTCTGCCATAAACAGCGTCCTGAGTTGATGATGCTCGGAGGAACTAGAAATGCATTTATGGTATGAGACTTAGATCCTGACCCTGTCCTACAAGGTGGAGGCGAGTTCCAAAGCCTTGATTTTAATGCTTCCATAGGCTGTTAATCAACCTACTGAAAGAGAGGAGGGTCTGTAGATCCAGGAATAAGTACCTGCCTCTGTCATCTGCTTATTAGTGAATCAGGGTACAGAGGCTTCCTAAAGCTGGCTGTAGCAGTTTTCAAGGTCTCTTGGATGGAGAAAAAAAAAAAGAATTAAAGATCTCATTTTGACAACTGTTATTTTGTTATATTCCTAGAATATACATACCCAGGGGATGTGGGTGTCTACCTCAATAGTTATGCTGTCTTTAATAGGTGTACAACCAAGACAGACTGTGACTTGCCAGTGTAAGACACAATTTCCTCCTAATTCTGACTAAAGTCCTGGCAAAAACCTAGCAGAAAAAATTTTAACGATGTGGCACGTTCCTCCAGACTCCATGCTACTTTAAATAGTGGCAACTTGTTCCTTAGCCAGCCTCATGAGATCTTCCAAAAGGAGGCTGCCACCGCCAAGCTTCCGGAGCAGCTTGCAAGAGGAGAAACTACAGAGTGAGGAGAAAACAAAACCCTCCCCAAACACTTTTCTCTCCATAACTGAGTGTAAAAGTCAGTGAAAGTTATGTTTTAAATCTTTGATACAGAAACAAACCAGGGCCTGTGGCATTCACAGATTCCCAGTTGATTCAGAAGCCTTTTTTATCCACTATGGTACTCAAATAAGCAGTTTTCACTCAAAATAAATGAATATCCAAAGGTATTTGGTAATACTGAAACTCATGATCATCTCAACTCAGGCTCCCGAGTGTGGGATTACATGCTTAGCATTTCTCTACATTTATTCTTCATTCCGGCTTTTTGATAAGATCCAACCGGGTAGTCTGGGCTGGCCTGGAAATCATCTGTAGCTCAGGTGGGCTTTGCACTAGTGGAATTCTCTCGCCTCTGCCTCCAGATGTGAGGCTTACAGATGTGAGCCTAATCCACCAGGCCTGGTTTCTCGTCACGTCTTAGCATCTTTCACAAGTCTTAAAGATGCAGCCGGCATACGAAGGTGTGCGAACCTGGCTCGCCTTAAAGCTCTTCCCTCTCAAGAAGCTTCCTGTGGCACCGGCAAATGGACCCGCTGTCATCTGGCTGGGGAACAGGTTCCATTCCATCACGGACCGTGGGCTTGCTGGCCTGGCGCTCAGCATATTTCTGAAATAAGTATGGAAGGAACAGAAGGTTTATTTTAGCTCCTGCTTCACTCTAGTCCACCTCCTGCACTCCTCCTCCTCCAATCATGATGTTCCAGACCTAAACCAAAGGTCTGGCCCATTCTAGTCTCATAGTTACATTTTAACTTTCTTTACTATAAACGGTGTTAAGAGCTCATAGTCAGGCAGAATACTGACTGAGCTAAGCGCCCCTACTTGAAACAAAAGAGCACTTATTCTCAATTCCACTGAATAGTCTATTGTTGAATTCTTGTAGCAAGCTAAGATAACGTGCTTCTCCAGATGGAGTGCGCAGATGGCTGTTGCAATCCATCCTGCAGGTCTGGAGTCAGAGCCATGACAAGAGGCCTGTGCAGTGTCCTGCTCTGGTCATAAGTATCCCTGTGTACCAACTCCTTCCCTCCGTTCCCTCTGTATCCACTTGGTCTTACACTCCTAGTGTTGATCTCACGCCAACAAAGCAACAGCATAGCTAAGTGGGCCCACTCAACATGCTAAAGGCAGAAGCGCCTACCATTGAAATTAAAGCTGGGGCTGGTAAGACGGCTTAGTGAGTGAAGGTGCCTGACGCCCATCCTAAAGCCCTGGTTCAATCCCTGGAACCTACATGGTGGAAGGAGAGAAGCAACTCCCATAAACTGTCCTCTGAACTCCACGGGCACTATGCTCGCCCTTTCCCACTGAGCTCACAAAATAAATAAATAGAATATAATTAAAGTTAAAAAAAAAAGATTAAAACTAGATTAGTAGAGAGGATGGAACCCATCTAAGGATGGCAAGAAGGTTGTGTTTACACAATTGGCCTTTATTTCTCTAAGGATCAACCACCAGGGGGCGCACAATGACAAGATGGAGGAGCATCATGGGCTCTAAGCCTCCATTTTTTTCTTTTATACTTGCTGCCCAGCCAGGGAGAAGTAATCAAAAAGCAGGCAACAGAGTCCATGTCAGAGGCAGCCCCTGTTCCACTTTACTAGGGAACCCACATGAAGCCCGAGCTGTCCATCAGGTACATCTGTGTAGGAGGCCTAGGTCCAGCTCATGCATAGTCCTTGGTTAGTGCTTCAGTCTCCACAAGCCCCTCTGGGCCCTGGTTAGTTGGCTCTGTTGGTCTTCTTGTGGTACTCCTGTCACCTCCAGGTCCTTCTATCCTTCCCTCCACTCTTCCACAAGACTCCCTATGCTTTGCCCCATGTTTGGCTGTGGGTCTTATCTTCTGCTGCTGGGTGGAGCCTCTCAGAGGACAGCTACGCTAGGCTTCTGTCTTGTTCCCTCTCTTCAGCCACTTCCACTGTCTGTTCTATTTCTCTTTCTGAGTGAGATTTAAGCAGCCTCACTTGGGTCCTCCTTGTTACGTATTTCCATTATTTTTATAACGCAGAACGAAGATTACAAATGTGCATTAGGCTGGGCAGTGATAGTGCTCGCCTTTAACCCCAGCACTCAGGAGAAAGAGGCAGGAGGCTGTCTGTGAGTTCAAAGCTAGCCTGATCTATAGAGCTAGTTCTAGGACAGCCAAGGCCATACCTCAATAAAAAAAACACACACAAAACCAAACCAAACCAAAAACACACACACAAAACCAAAAACGAAACAGAGTGTGGCGGCTCCAGAGGGAGTCAGCACTGGTCCTTTCTTCCCAGGGTCTCAGCTGAACCCACATTCTTTCCACAAGCGCCCCTGATCCCCGCAGGAAGCACGGCACAAAGTGTCCAGTCCACACACGTGGTCCACGGACCCCTGACCCAGCAGGACAGGCACTCTGAACTGACCTGTAGTACTCTATAATAGTAGCAGTAAAGCCTGGGCGGCTGGAGCAGGTCCCTAGCAGCTAACTGCCCTTCTTTCGCGATCTTCTTCGCCTCTTCATCGTTTTCCTAAAAGGCAAACAATAAAAATCAAAGTTACTGCAGCAGCCCACCAAGAAAGCTAAGTGCGGGTGAGAGTGAGCCAAGGAAGGTGGCTCTAAGAAGCACGGGGCGAGGGGAGCCGCCTACAGTGGGCTCTACCTTACAAGGGAGGCCATGGGAGAAGTCAGTCAATGTCTGTTAAAGAGCAGAGACAGGTGTGGGGCCTGACCCCACAGCACTCACAGGCCTCTTCTGTGACTATTCTGGTGCTTTCGTTGCTACCCATGGAGAGAACCAGGGGTCCTCATCTCCCAGCAGCTCTCTCTGCCGAAGAACACAATGAATCAATTTCCAAGTTCAAATGGCTCAAATGCCAGGCTGCAGACCTCTGTGAGTTCCAGGACAGCCTAGTGTACAGAGTGAGTCCAGGACAGCCAGGGCTACACAGAGAAACCCTGTCTTAAAAAACCAAAATAAAATAAAATAAAAGCTTTGGGGCTGGGGAGATGGCTTGGCAGTTGTGAGTACCACTCTTGCAAAGGACTGGCAGCCACCTCCATGGTTCTCAACTCCAGCTCCTGGGCACCTGAGGCCTCTGGCCTTTGAGGGCGTCTTTGCTCACGTGCACAGACTCTTATACTGACACGTGTAAAATTAAAATAATAAAAATGTGGTTTTCATAAAACTTCATTTAAATATACAGTCAATGGCAAAATGTTTTGTCACAAAGCGGTAGCCACAAGGGACTATAATGTTGTAATAAAAAATTATTCATTCTTTAGTGCTCACAGGCTGTAGAGCCAGGAAGAGCCAATGCTCCTAATTAGAGTCATGCAAAATGCTTATTTTGTGCATACAAACTGGTATGAAAAGCTGTTTGCTGGCAAATTGTGGATCTTAGAAAGGCCAGAACAATGATTCTGATTCATTATTTCCATAACCAAATCTTACTTCTTAAAACTTAAAAATAAAAAAATATTACAATGGAAGGATAAATTTTTATAGCTTCATAGTAAACCCCAATAGTTTTAAATGTTATTCCTTAAGAAAAAGAATCCCTGTTTTATGTTCTTGGGATGCTGTGTAGCTTACGTTGGGTAAGACTTGTGGGTTTTTTCCTATATGAAAAAGAGTATCGTAGTTGCCTGAAATGTTCTCTTTATATACAAAGCCTTTCAACTCTGGTCTTTTCAATCTATTATTTACATTGTGTGTGTTCTTGTTTTGCATGTAGAGGTGCAAAGAGTGATTCATTTAGAAAAGATATATTATATACAACACTAGACTTCAAATCTAACCTTCAACAATATTGATAGAGGGTATACAAAATGATTCTGAGCTCTTTCCTCTCTCTCTCTCTGTTTTTATTTCCTTATTTAATTTTTGGGTTCCTCTGTGTAGCCCTGGCTGTCCTGAACTCACTACGTAGATCAGCCTGGCTGTAACTCACAGAGATCTGCCTCCTTCAGTGCTGGGATTAAAAGTGTGTGCCGCCATGTCCAGCTCCTTTCTTTCTCTTGTGCGTGTGTGCATGTGTGTACCTGATGTGGGCTTGTGCACGAGAGTAGCAACAGAAGCCAGAACGGGCCATCTGAGCCCCTGGATCTGACTTACAGGTCACTGAGAGCTGTCCAAGGTGACTCAGGAAGCCAAACTCGTCCTTCGGAAGAGCAGCAAGTACTCTTAACGGATCAGCTGCCTCTCTGACCCCTGATTTCCTTTCTTTTGCTATTTAAAGGAACATATTTTTTGGAAAATCCTATTTCCTTTGATTTGATTTCATTATGATACATTAGGTCCTGACAGAACACAGCTTCCCCATATTAATAACCTTATCATTGCCCAAGGAAAGAAAAATTGCTTGAAACATACCTTGGCCCATTTCACCTTCTCTAGTAAATCACTGAGGTTTCTTTTAATGGGAATGTAGTGTTTCCAAGGCTTTAGAGCCCCGTAGAAGTGTTCATAGTATGGAGACTCCTGCTTCAGAACCAGGCTGTCCCCAAGCATGAGGTATGGGTACCTGTATGCGGCCACAGTCCCATCCACATTCACCTGGTACTTGTACTAGAAGAGTAAAAGAAAAGAAAAATCTCATAAGGCCATTTGCTTTCCTTCTGCTTCTCACCAGCACTTTAAAAATAAATACACATTTTCCCACATCTGTGTTTGCATTTCATTTACCTTTTATTTTCTCTTTGTATAAAAATGATAGCCAGCCTTTAATGGCTCCCTTATAGGAAATTTTAGGACAGGAACAAGAGCCCGTTTCAATTACATGTGTGAAGGGCAGAGTCTAGACTTCCGTAACCAGAGCAGGTATTAAAATGTTCTAAATTTCATGTATAAACCATTTCATTTGTTCCTTATACTAAGCCCACCAAACAGAAAGGCACTGTCTCTAATAGTTTATAGGCTGGTAAACTAGAGTTTACATACAACAGAATTTATATCTTAGCAGCCTGTAAACTGTAGCTAAGGTAGCTCCGTGAGTAGAGGAGCTGGCTGCCAGACCAGCTCCTCTGGTCCTCAAGTTCAATTCCCAGGACCCACATGGTAAAGGGAGAGAATTAACTCTGGTAAGGTGTCATCTGAATTACACACACACACACATACAGAAAGAGAGAGACAGAGAGAGAGAGAGGTGTATAAAATAGTTGAGAGGAACCTGGAGAAGTAGTTATTTTGCTGGCATATATTGTATTAGTAAGTTTTGATTTCTATTTCAAAAGCATTTATCAATTTAATTATGAGGCATTTTTTTTAAACAAGTGAGAAAACCAGTACACAGAGAAATGCATAAACCTACATTCTGAACTCGAGTTTGCTGTGCTTTTCATCGTAAAACCCCGGAGATGAAGATGATCCATTTCCACATATGGTGGCCCAGCTCCTCCCTCCCATTCTCCCTTCCATTCTCCCTCTTTCCTTCTCAGTGGTGGAGATCGCATCTATGCCTCACACGTGCAACAGAAGCCCTCCGCACTGGGCTACACCCTAACTGCCTAACAGTTTCTTAAATGATCAATACCACGTGTTTCCTAGCCAGCTCTAAATTCTAAGGAAGTTGTGTGCACGCAACACAAACACACACATGCACACCATATCACATATATACATGTATGTACAAATTCCAATACACACACACACACACAAGTCAATGCAAGAAGAGAGTAAAAGAATATGGCAGGCAGCAGGGGACAGCAGAGTCACTAAGAGGCAATGAAGAAGGGAATATAAGCAGGTCCCGAACTCCCGCTCCGGCTCCTATTTTGCATACATAAAAATGAATGCTCTCTTCATTTACCAAGGATACTTGAGATCACTCCGTGTAAAAGACACTTATCTTTCCAGCTCATTAAATCAAAGGGAAAAGCTACAATAAATACACCCAAACCTCATATTAACTCTAAGCATTAAGTACAGTTCTACATTATTTGGTAAACAAAATTAACAGAGACAGACAGACTGCCAGAGCTCTGTGATTTCCTCGGTCTGAAGGAAAGTCTGAAAGCAAAGTTAGCTCACAAACCGAGGCATCCTGCCTGGACCACCTGTTTCGTAGACTTTGGACACAGTTTATCACTTCATAGCCATAGGAAGACTCATACCTTAAAGAAATCAAAGAAACCCATCAATTTGGCTTTTCCAAGCTCTTTTTCTTTCTCTTGGAAAAAGAAATATCCTGTAATTCCTGCATCTAGCAGCTGTGGATTTTCTTTGGACAGCTGTACCAACTGCAGCCTCTCTTCCCGGCTATCTCTACCTCGGAAGAAAGCTTTCTCTGTTTTATTGATCCAGGAAGGCCCTAGAAGTTTGAGGCCATAAAAAATGATGATTAAGAATCTGAAATCATAAGACAGTACAATGACCTTTAATCCACCATTGCCATTTATGTGCTGATGCTGTTCACAAGCTCACTTTGTAACACAGATGCTGTTTCCAAAATATCTGGGCGGAGTCTCCTTTTGCCAGAGATGCTTCTGAGACCATCCTGTTTGCCCCAGCCCCTCCCATTTACATGCCAAGAACAGCCCACACAGGTACTGCCATTTCCTGTAGTACAACACCAGGAAGTAGCCAACACACTACCAGGCCAAGCTCAAAGCACAAGAGGTACCTTATTTGTCCCACTTCCAAGGCCATAGCTTCTTCCATCTTTCACGTTTCACAAATCACACATGAGCTTTGTTCGTATATGATGTCAGCGGAAAACTGCATGGCTAAGTAACTCCAACAGATTTTTAGTCCATTTTCCCCTTATTTTTATTTTACATGAATGAGTATTTTATATACGTCTGTGCACTGCACGCATGAGGTGCCCACAGAGGCCAGAGGAGGGAGTCAGATCCCCTTGGACTGCAGTTAACACACTGTTAGGAGTCATCCAGTAGGTGCTGGGAATTTAACCTGGGCCTTCTTGAAGAGCAGTGAGTGCTCTAGCCCATCTCTCCAGCTCAGCCACAGGGAAGACACTGTTCTGTTAAATGCAGTTAATATGGCCCACTACCCTCACATGGGTATGTAAGGAGTTTGAGACAGGCTCTTGCTGTACACCCTGGCTGGTCTGCTCCTGGCTATGTAGCCCAGATGGCTCTCTTAACTAATAACAATCCTCCTGCCTTAGGCTTCCAAGAGCTAGGATTACAGGCATGAGTTACCATGCCCAGCTGTATCTTCTCTTTTGTAGAAGGGAAATTCCAATCTCTGACAAAACATCTTATTCTAAAGAAAGATGTTGTTGGTTAAGTACTTGTCAGCACATCCAAGATATCAGAAGGTAGAAATCGGGGGATTCAATCTTCTCAGCATACTTTTCAGAAATTCACTGCTATCAAATTCAAAGTAGGCCCATTTTTATTTCATATTGTCTTCATCTTACTTTCATTTTCTGTTCTCATCTTTAGATACTTTGCACAAATCTCTGATATTGTCCCCCAAATGACATTAAAGAGAAATAGAGACTGAAAAAGGAGCCAAATTTTTGCAGCCCAATGAGTTTCAAAAAGGGTACTGTATCAAAATGAAAGGACTCATAAAAAGAGAGAAGGTATTCTAGTTTTAAAGACTCAAGAAGTACAGAAAAATGGAATGAGAGAATTCCTTATGAAGTGTTGGAGGATGGGCTCATGATGCCCCAATTACACCACGATCACAATCCTATTATGTTTTTTAGAATCTGCTCTCATTTCCTCCATTGATAAAAAGCATTGTAGTCAGAATTAAGTAACAAGTTTACCAAATATACATATTAAGTATCTTTAATTTCTGCCTTAAATTTTCATATAAGTATAACCAAGTGCAGACTTGAAAAGATATTTACAAATGATTAAGGAGACTCCATGCATATAGGCTTGGGCATTATTACCCCAAAATATGTGTTTTTAATTTTCAATTTAGGAGAGTCCTAAACATTCTCCTTCAGCCTTGGGGTGCCTGTACCTTCTTTGTCATGCTGGAAGTGGAGCCTGGGCCCTTGCACATGCTAGTCTCACATGCTAAGCATTTTTCTTAGTGAGAAGTAAGAATGACTAAGCTTATGCATTTATTATTTCTGGTTAAACATTCTCTTCACCTTTTTTTCACACTTAAGATTTCCCCTAGAGAATTAGCCTTGACTTACCTGTATTTCCCTGAACAGAGAGGAGATCATTTGTGACACCCCTCATTGCTTCAAGTGTGGAGTGGGTGACATCATACGTGGGCAGGATAATGTCCCTTGAATCCAAGGAGCCACACCACGAAATTATAGGTATAGGGCTGGGGGTGTCATTGACCCTCCGATGCTCCAAGGGCCAATCTCCCAGGTTAATATAAAATTCTAAATCTGGGAGGGCGACCTACAAAAACAAAAGCCAAGCATTAGTGCTGGGAGGTATCGGACGCCTCAGTCTCTTGGCTGTGTGTGTTCGCGCGCGCGTGTGTGTTTGTGTGCGCGTGCACACCTTGGGTGTAGGACAGGCTGTGGTCAATCTCTGGTCATTCTCCTCAAGAGCCTTCTACCTTGTTTTTTTGAGACCTGGTCTCTCACAGCCTGAGAGAGTTGCTCACAGGATCTGCGGAGGTTAAGCTGGCTGGTTAAGCTCTGAGCCTTCGGGACCCACCTGTCTCTCCTTCCTCGCACTGGGAACAAGAGCACACACCATCACCGCTGGCCTTTTTCATGTGGGTTCTGAGGATTGGACTCAGGTCCTAACATTTACACAGCAAGCACTTGACTGAGCCACCTCCCCAGCCTGGCACTCTGAAGAACTTCTAATCCAGGAGACCACTGAAGATGGTGGGATGAGGGAGAAGAAGGCCTCATGGTCACTGTATGTCACTGTATGCCCTAGGTAAGGGCAGTATATGACACGTTCACTTAACTGGAAGCTGGCTACCTCTAGAGGCCTCTGTCCCGTTTCTGTATCCACGACTGATACTCAGTTGAGGTCCTTGTCATCTCTTGCTTGGAATGGGGCATCAGTTTCCTTATTAGGCATTCTGACCCTACCCTGCCCTAACTTGAATAACCGCCCAAATCTCTACACCCCACACACACTCACATCATGACTAAGCTTACCAGAACCTCTAGACCACTGAACAAGACTTATGCTCTGTCCTGGCATATTCCAGCTTATACTGAAGTCTCATGAACCTGAGTGCTGGGATTTCAGGCAAGAGCCACCAAGCCCAGCTTAATTTAAATCTTACAGGAAGCAGCCATCTGCGAAGGTAGGAGACTTATGCATTTCCCGACACGTTTCTGAGCCCCGAAATCTACTGTCATCAGTCGTTATCTTTCTAAGTATGTAACATTTCTGGACCCAGGTCGTTCATTTTCATACCTTCCTTGCCAGCGACAGCAAAATTTCATCAGAGAACATTTTGAAGTCTGTGTATTTCCCCAAAGACCTCCGGTAGATGTGGTTATTGAGAACTGTGTAATGAACAACAGCACCCCGCTCGTCCCCAAATCTTTTGGGGACTTCCTTCAGCATCTGCTGGAGATTGATGCTGGGAAAGGAAGAAAAATCCTGCTCGATCTGTGGTTCCTTGGCTGGACAGGACAGAGTTTTCTGCCAGACGTGAGGGTCCTCTTCTGGACAGTCACAGTACTCGTGGTACACGGGTCCTGGGGGGTGACACACACACACAATGCCACCCTGAGTTAACACGTCCCGTGACAGAAGGGGATGCGGGCACCGGATGAAAACTCTGCGCATCTGGACGCGACTGAGAGGGCATCTATCTTAGGCCAGTCAGTAGTGGAGTAATTACATCAGGGTCGCGCTTCTGCCCCCTTTCAGGGCACCCGCCCCCTGCTCGGCATGTGCTCCCTGTCAAACCAACACTCTCCAGTCCCTTGGATGGGACAGTCGCTTCCAGTGAGGTGTAAGCGATGACTATAAAATAATCACAGTTTAGCACGGAAAGGCAGTGCTTCTTGGTTTTCAGAAAAAAATCAAATGTGGAAACAGTAAGTCTGAGAAAACGGAGGCCTTTCCCTCAAGGTCTCTAAAGCTCCCTTGGTTGGCACATTTCAGAGGGAAAGAAAAACCCAATGGGGTCTATCAAGTGTGCCCTGGGCAGTTGAACGCACAGGCCTTTTCTGAAGATACACTTAGAAAACAAGGTGTATGAATCTAACATAATTTCAGGACATATCCATGTTAAGTTTTCTTGATGATCTATTTATGGTCTTTGGAAACAGAGTCTCATGTAGCCCAGGCTGGTCCTGACCCTCCTGTCTTTACCTGCCTAGTGCTGAGATGACATCATTAGGCCTGATTTTTCTCGAAGATTTCTACTTTAGAGCAGTAAGAGGCGATGGCTTGTTTTTTCACTCGATGCTGGTGGACAGAGCCTGACATGACTTACAGGCTCACAGTTTGCAGACTGTGGACAGGAGGTGATGAAGGACAGTGAGTCCTGGAGGCGGACACTAGCAAGGTAAGCCTCACAGGTCACACAGCTTGCTGCTTACAGGAAGAGGGCGTGGGCAGGGCTGAACACTCTCACCGCGCTGAGGAAGTGCTGAGGAAGAGCTGAGCGTGCGGAGAGACAAGCAACTGAGCATGGGAATACAGAGCATGTGAAGGCAGGAGTAAATATGGAAGAGCCCAGAAACATGCAGGGGTCTGTGGGTGAGCATCCAGCCCGGCCTGTGATCAGGGCATCTGTGAGAGGAAACCACCAGGGTAGGGAAGAGCCATCCGGAACAACCCTGGAGGGTCAGTGAACAGCGCTCCTGGCTGCGTCAGCCAGGCGGAAGAGCCTCTGCATCCTCCAGGCTTCAGGATGGCGTGTCTTAGCTGTCGAGAATAATTAGCCCTAGATTAAACGTGGCTCAGTTTCATCTAACAAATCATAATTTGAAAGGATTAATTTACGTCCAATTAACTCTGCCACATCCGGGAGATAAAGCTTAGAGAAATTAAAAATGGAGTCAAAGAGATAAAAAAAAAATACACTACTGGAGATTAATGGCAGTAGGAATAACTTGGCCTTGGAGGAAAAAAGATGAACAAACTTAAAGATACAGCAATGGGAATAATACAAAATGAAGCAGAAAAAAAAAATTTATGGTTTATTTCATGTGTATGGTGTATGTGTGTGCATGCATGTATGCGTGTGTGTGTGTGTGTGTGTGTGTGTGTGTGTGTACAATACATAGATGTCTGGTGCCCGCAGAGGTCAGAAGAGGACATTGGGTCCCCTAGAACAGGAATTATAGATGATTGTGAGTTACCGTGTGGATGCTGGGAACTGAACCCAGGTCCTCTGCAAGAGCAGACAGTGCTCTCCAAACTCAGAAAAATGCTACTTTTTAAAAATGCCAAAAATGAAAAAAAAAAAAAAAAAAGTGAGCTCCAGGGAGCACACAGACGTTTGCCCTGTGGAATTTGACTGAAGGGCCACCACAGCCATCTGAAAAGCAGGAACCCCACTTAAGTGCGGGGTCAGGTGACTAGCAACGCTTACCTTTCAGGGTGTAGGGAGACTGAGCCACATGCTCGCCACCATAAAGGATCTCTATCCTGAGGCCTTCATGGACCGTCTCGTGCATCCTGTACCTCACCAAAAATGTTCCATCGTTTCTGTCCAAAGGTTTAGGGACATAAATACGGGCTGACTCTCTAGGTGAAAGGGATTTTACTGCTACTTTGAACTGTGTGTGACCTGTGAGCAAAAGAAATATAAATAATGTTACCATTTCCTGATTATTTGATTTGGTTTGTTTCTGTTTGTTTGTTTGTTTTTTTGACACAGGGTTCTCTGTGTATCCTTGGCTGTCCTGGACTCACTTAGTAGACCAGGCTGGCCTCGAACTCACAGAGGTCCACCTGCCTCTGCCTCCCGGAGGGCTGGGATTATAGGCCTGCACCACCGCAAGCAGCTCATTTCCTGATTACACAGGTATCTTTGTATCTAAATTCCTTTGTCCTGCAGTCTTCACAGTAAAGCACATTCATTTCAGCCTGGAAGATTTTCGAGGCCAGCAACTATGTCCGGCCCATCCTTAAGCCAAGGCTCTGGCTTAATATGGGGCTCACCAGCCATTCAAAAACGACAGTGGATGAAAACCGATCAATTCATTTGAGAAAGCAGCATTTCGCCTGCTTGGTCTTTTCTCCTCTGAGTAACATTCAAGCTTGGGTGGTTAAGAGTCCACACTCTATAGAAATAATGGCCCTGCAGTAATTCAGCTTTCTCCCTGTTGAACACACACACGTTATTCAGTGCCATTTAAGTATCTAGAGCCCCTCATTTCTGAGAAACTGTCCCTTCTTTTTATTAATTTTGTCCTTTGACAGTTTCCCACTGTTTGATACATACGGACCACTGTCGCCCTCTGCCTTCTCCAACCCCCTCCCGGCCTTGTCTACCCCCTTCCCTTTTCCACAAATCTCTTTTTAACTTTCAGGTGTCTCGATCTTGTTTGTGGTCCACTGTGTCCACCCAGGGCTGTCTGTGTGACCATGGATTCGGAGCTGGGCTCAACAGGGGATCTTGAGCAGGCACACAACTAAAGGTGCCTTTCCCTCTCCCGGAACCTAATAATCCCTAGGAAGTGAGAATAGGGCCCCATAGGCCCTCCCTACTCTGTGACCGAACTGACGGTTGGCAGGGCCAGTCTGGTGTGAGCCTAGTGCGGTCACCACAGTTAGGAGTTTATGATTGCAAAGGCTGAGTCAAGAGCAGTGGTTCTCAACCTGTGGGCAGTGACCCCTCACGAGGGCGGAGTCGGATGACTCTTTCACGGGGTCACATGTTACATATCTTGGATTTCAGGTATTTGCATTACAATTCATAACAGCAGCAAAATTACAGTTCCAAAGTGGCAATGAAAATAAGTGTATGGTTGGCCTTGCCTTTTTTTCCCATTCCTTCTGCCTTGCTTTTTTTGTTGTTGTTGACACAGAGTTTCCCGTGTATCCTTGACTGTCCTGGAAATCACTCTGTAGACCAGGCTGGCCTCGAACTCACAGTGCTCCACTTGCCTCTGCCTCCCTGAGTGCTGGGATTAAAGGCGTGCACCATCGCGCCTGGCTCCCTCTGCCTTGCTAGAAACTGTTAGATTACATCCTTAAAGCTCAGCAGCTTATTTGGCCACTTCCCTTCTCCCTCACCCTCTGTCCTCCTGTCTTTGTCTCTTATTCCCTACCCTCTGTCCCTCCGGAGCAAATAAATCGCCTTCATGCTGAGAACTTGGTCTTGGGGTTCCTGGGCTGATACTTTTCCTTTCAAGGGCACTTAGTGTATCAAAGCTCTCTGCAGTCACACGGAAAGTACTGGCCCTGCATTACCAACTAGAGAGTCCCATAAGACCAAAGTGTCACACCCTAGGGCTACCTCATCCTCCAGACATGTCTGACTCCTGCCATGGACACTCCAGGACCCACCCATACACTGCATTTTTTTTAAAGATTTTTTTCCCTCACTATAGAAACATTACCATCCTTTGGGGCCGGGTGGTTAGGAGTGCTTCCTCCTCTCCAGAGCACACATGCTCAACTCCCAGCAACCACATTAGGCAGCTCACAACTGCCTACAACCCCAGCCACAGCAGATCAGCATATGCAAACGCACACGCGCCTGTCCATGAAAGTATAAATAAATAAAGCATAATCTCTGCAGAAAACTGTAACGGGGAAAAAGAATTTAAAAATTAGAGAAAAAAATCCTTACTCTCATGCTGTAGCTACAGGAGTTCCTATCTGGGTACGTTTATCTATTACAGAATTGGAGAGACGGTGTTACGGTTTGAATCTGAGCCGTGTCCCACAGGCTCCTGTTCTGAACACTTGGTCCTCACGGTCTCCGCTTTTGCACATCTGCAAGCATGTCCAGAAAACCTTCTGGGCTTCCAAACCCCCTACTCCCGAAAGCCTCCCAGAGATCCCAGGGCCTACTGGCTGTCCTCACTGTTCACACCAAGCTGCACACCCTTTTGTAGCAACTGTCCTGTGCCCTGATAGGTCAGCTGTTTATTGTCTATTTTCTCGGTAGGGCCCAAGTTTCCTGATGGGCAGACATTTCCATGTTCCTTTTACTCCAGGATTACCAAATACACAGTGACCTCCAAGTACATGAAATTTGCACTGTGGAGGCCCTGGATTACTCGGGTCTCTTTTGCAGGCAAAACAGGATGCGATGCGTTGGGAGCAGCCTTACATTTAGACGCAAATTAGCAAATCCTGACTGGCAACAACTTGAAACCAGTTGGGCAAGTCCAGAGAAGCAGTCAGATGAGGGAGGAGGACCCTGACGAAGTTTCACTGATTCCTATGGCCTGCACGGAGGGCCTCGGAGCGCCTAGGTGACGAGCGGGCTGCTGAGTCCGGAAGGAAGTCTCGCCCTGCAGGCCACGTGATCGCACCCCCGCGCCCCATAGGACAGAACGGGCCCCATTCCCTCCACTTACCCTCACGTCGGTCATGGCGCGGGACCTGTGGCCCGGCCTCTGAGTCAGACAGTCACCCAACGGACTTGGGTGGCGTCTCCCCGTGGGTGTCAGGGGGCAGGGAAGGGGGCCGATGGGAGGGGAGAGAGAGCGACCCCCGCAGGGCGGAGACGACCACGCGTGGGGACAGGGACCGCGCTGACCTGGCGGCGAGCTGGTGAGGTTCCGGCCGTCCGAGTCCACCGACTGCAGGAAGAAGTAGCGCACGGGCAGGACGGCGGCGGCCTGCAGCCCCGGGCCCCACGCCAGGCTCCGCGGCGCGCTCACTCGCGCCCCGGCCCCCGCGGCCACCAGCAGGGCGAGCGGCAGCCGCAGCAGCAGGGCCCGCCGGACGCGGTGCATGGTCGCCGGCTCTCAGCTCTGCTGGCCAGGGAGGGGCCGGAGCGCCGGGCCGAGGGGGACACCCGGGGGCGGGCCTCTGCCTGGAGCCGCCCCCGACAGCGACGGGGTGTCGGTGTGCGCCGCGGCCCGGCCTCCTCTGCTCGCCGGGGCTCCACTGGTCGCTTGAGTTTGTCAGAAGTTTAGAGAAAGGCAGGGTTGGTTGGTTGGTTTTTAAATGGTTGTTACCGTTTCCACTTATTTTATGTTTTGTTTTCACTAATTAATTGATGGAGGGTCTCACTCTAGCTCCTACTGCCCCGGCACTCTCTTTGTAAACCAGCTGGCCTTTAACTCACTGTCGTCGGCCTGCCTCTGTCTCCCAAGTGCTGGGATCAAAGGTGCCCACTACCAAGCCCAGTCTGGCACAAACAAACGAAACAACCACAACAAAACGGGTTTAAACGTTACAGGCTCAGGTTTGGGATGGGGCCTACAGTGTACAAGGCCCAGGGTTTGGTTGCCAGTGCCACAAGTGGAACAAGAGGAATGGCTTCCCCGTGAGGAATTTCACTGGTCTTGGGTCACGTTTATTTTGTCCTTGGCAGTCTTTCTTGATGGCGTCCCTAGAGTATGGTTTCCTTTCTGTCCCTTCTCTTTCAAGTGTTTTCTGGTCACTTGGGCAGCAGAAGGCCGGCTCTGGGCCTTCCCTTGAGCTGTGTGGACAACCTTCTCAGAATTAGGCACTTTTCCCTCCCTACCCACTTTGGAAAGGTAGGATGGGTGGCCCGGGCACCCCGCTCCTGAGCCTCAAGAGTCAGAAAGAACATCTCTCCTCAGCCCCAGTTTGTTCACTTTTGGTAATTATTTTTTTTCTTCTTATCTGCATAGCATTCAAATCTTAGGAAATACTGACTCTCCCAGGCTGAGAAATCTGGAGGACCTCAGCCTACAGAACAGATGAAGAGCTGCCCCTCCCGATAGATCTCAAGCCAGATCAGGTCCGAATCCCATTCTGACCTGTCCTCTGCCTTCCCCAGGCTGCAGTTGAGCTCCTGAGCACTTGGAGCTTGGGCCCAGGTCACCGACCCTCTTAAGAACGGCTGGATAGGGTAGAGAGGCCAGTGTGAAGGAGGCACAGGAAGCCCAGGGCACTCCACTGTGCCCAGGACGTGAGTTAGCTTGTGCTCCACCTGTGGAGGGCTTAGACAGCACTCCAGTTTAGACGCCTCGCCAGCGCCTGGGATACACTGTAAACTGAGGGGCAGCAGCGTAGAGTAACTTCCTGTGACTTCCACACTGCTTCCTGGAGTTTTGTTGGAATGTTTTGATTCTGTAAGCATTCATAAACAAACAACACATGCACGAACACCTGTGTAGAGAGCATTTTATTCACTCTCTGCCAAAATGAAGTTAAATTTTCTTTTCCCAGAGAAGTGAGCTGGGGGTTATCTGGTTCTGGGTGATAGTGAAATGTCTAAGAAATTAGATAATTTTTGAAGTAACACCTGTTTGGGGGCAGGGGGAGGAACTACCAAGCAATTGATTTCTTCGACCAGTTGAGAAATGAAAACTTTCATTAAGTGAATGTCTTAAGCTACAAAGAACAACCTGAGGGGCTCTTAGGTGGGCTGTGCCCCAATTCACGGTGGGCTGCCTCCTGCTTCCTATGCCTGAGACCCTCCAGGAAGGGAGGTCAGGCCTTTCTCATGTCTCTCCTGTTACTTAGCCAGGCACGTTGATGTCTCAGAGCTGGTAGTCTACTTTGAATGTGTATTATGAAAGAGAAGAGCAAGCTGCTCTTGTCATTTTTAAATCATCCATTGGGGAAATCTCTCCCAGAAAGACTGGGGACATTTCCCCAGTATCTTAGTAATTTTCCTGGAAAACTTCACACTTAAAAAAAAAAAACATCTTTTGAGGGACTGGAGAAATGGCTCAGCAGTTAAGAGCACTGGCTGCTCTTCCAGAGACCCAGGTTTAATTCCCAGAACCCACACTGCATCTCCATACCATCTGTAACTCTAGTTGTAGGGGATCTGACGCTCTCTTCTAGCCTGTGAATGCCACGCGGTGCACAGTAGGCAGGCAAGACACCCATACACATTAAAAGACTAAAAACTAATCTGAGGACAGGAAATAAAACCAAGTCTAACTGTTTGGGGTTGGGGCTTAGTGGTGGGGCTGCCTAGAGTGTATGTCCCCACAAATCCAGCAAGACAACCCCAAAAAGACGACAAGCCCACGTGGTGCATGTGCTTAAGTTCTTTATTTCGACAAAAGCATCATTACAAGATTTCACCTTCTAGTCCATAGTCCACGCTTTGGGAACAGATCTGAGGAAAACCGTAAGAGGAGTCTTGACAGTTTTAACAAAGGTGCTGATTATGGCTTATTGTTTCGGAATGGAATTATTGGTCACAAAGGGCCATTAAGCAGTAATGCAAACTTGCAAACTAATATATTTACGTATCTATACTGTACATGTAGGTAGGGCATCCCAAGACTCCACTATAGACAATAAGCTCTAAGCAGTAAGGCCTGGTAGAACACAACAGCAGTCAATAGAGACGCTTGTTTTTACAGCGCTGTGGATTTTCCACTTGATCCTCATCTTTTCCACAACCGCAGTAGAATTCTTTCAGCAACCTTGTTAACCACCTTTATTTCTTATACAAACCAGTTTTCCCTTTTGACATTCTCCTTAACACCAAACTCGTGTTAGTAGCAATGGGAGTTTTATGAAAATCAATGTATTTATGATGGGAGAGTAAACTTCAGATGGGAGTATCTAAAAAATAAAATAATCTTCCTAAACTCCACGTAAAACAAATTTAACAACACAATATTTATAGCCGTGTTAACCTAATATTTAAGCAGACTAGTAGTTTCCTAGGAACTTATTAGCATTGATCAATTAGTGTTTTACTGTTTGTAATTGATTATATATATTTATATATTATAAATGATTATATAGTTTAGGAAAAATATGAAATGACCATCATTAAAGTTACCACAGCTGTGCCCAAAATGATCATCAAAAAGCAGTCTACGTATTACAACACGAAGACAGACTCTAGACTTCTTCAACGAAGTGCTTCATAAACTCTAGGACAGTGAAGGTGCTGTTGTATTTTTGTGAAATCACCGTTTTTCTCCTCCCTCACCCCACAAGCAGTGATCCTTACACATGGTGCAGACAAGCGGGGCAGCCAGGAACCTTTCCATATGGAAAGCACGTTCCGGCGCAGAGTCAGGGCCTCCAAAGCATCTGTCCTTCTTACCCACTTCCCCCACTCAGAGCCTCACCTTGTTCAAAAGCAAGCCGACTTTGTGTCACCTCTTGCAGACTCATGTAGGCTCAAAATATTTACTGAAATAGTATCTCATGGTGATCATTAAAAAAAAAAAAAAAAAACAACAACCAAGATCTTACTGTTAAAATATCTCAGAATATATTAAAGTCACACAAAAGTCATAATATGTGAGAGGTTTACTCAAATAATCAGGTAAACAGCAAGAGGAAAGGCATGTGCTTAAGTTTTTTGTTTTTAGACAAATTTTTTTCTTTACTATTCAAGTTTGAATCAGTTCAGGACAGTTGGTTTAGGCATCTTTTTGAGCTTCAAATTGGCTGGAGCTCAAAGTTTGAGCGGACAGGCTGAAGGAAATGCCAGTGACCTCACCTTTATTAGTTCTGAGTCTTACGGGACCAATGTAAACTAGCCCAGGCGTGGGGCTTTGAGGCCAGACAATGATTACGAGGGCAATAATAATAATAATATAGATCTTTCTTGCATCTGTGTCGGCGCCAGATCTCTGTACCCTTTGCCCACACCTGTCCTTAGCTTCAGTTTATCTGGAAGATATAAGTATGTCAGAAAACAGCTATATAGGACAAAATCCACTCCTGTCATCCCAGGCTGCTCAGGTCTCCATCACCCTCGGCCTCAACCATAGACCTTGATCTTGAATTAGAGGCGAGAAAGCTCCAGATTTTTCTAGGTAGCAACTAAAGAGGTAGGAAGCCGAATTGACAATGGGTATCACACGTGGCTTACAGTAAATTAGGAGTTTTGAGTTAGATGTTCCTGAGGGCTTGAAGGATGGGTCAGCAGAGGAGCCAAGTGGTTCCCAGACATCGTGTCTGATCCAGCATCTTAAGGATTCTTCCAAGGTTCCCACTAAAATCCTTCTCGTGTCCTAACCCAAAGCTTCTTAGACTGTGTGCCCTCACTCTTTATGGGGTTGCATAACTGAATGTGGGGTTACAAAAAAAAAATGGCAGCAGTAAAAGTTTCTGAAAGTGCACTGAACAAACACAACAAACAATTCAAAATTAACCATGTAATGAATCCTGGCCCTGCTTTTCCCATGGTGCCTGGTGTGGCTTCACTGCAGCCTTGGCTCACACACACAGCATGGACACCTTGTCCTGGGAGGAAGAAGAGAAGAGAGTGCAGGGAGAGAGGAAAGGAAAGTGGGGAGAGGAGATCTGACACAGTTCTGCGATGTTTTTACTGCACATGGCAAGATCTCTGCTCATATTGAAGAGCAATTACAGCAACAAAGACTTCTCTTCAATTTATTCTCCAGCAAGTGGGTAACATTAGCCTGTCCTCAGACTGCTCTGTGCTAGGCAAACAGATACATCTAGCTCATTAGTATATGTTTTGTTCTTACCTTAAACAAATGGTAAATTTGTGTGCAAGCCAGAAACTGGTTTTAAAATAAATTTGAGTTATCAGTGAATATTTGATTTGTGTCTCTATTTTATATATGTATATACCCGAAGTCATGTAAAAATTCCCCAAACTACAAAGACATGAAGTAAGAGAAGTTTAAGAAGGCCCAGCCTGGGCTATAAATAAGGAGATGAAAAAAGCACAGGTCTGGGGAGATGGGAAAGACAGTTGTGGAGAGAGCAGCAAAATAAAGCTGGTCCAGCAAAGAGCTTTCTGTCATCTCCACCCATTAGCTTTTGTCTGCGTGGCCAAGCTGCACTCACTGCCTGCATCGTTTGTGTTTCGTCCCCGCTCTAAGCTCAGAAATTCATCCAACCACCACAAACTGTTCCAGAGAAATCCACAATGCTTCGTTCATAACCTCGACATGTCGTCTAACCAGGTGTTTAAGGGCCCACTACAGAAGAGCAAGGATTCTCTCAGAACAGCCCCTTCGTCCTGTGGCTGGACAGTGCTCTGTGGTTAAGAGCTCCTGCAGAGGACCAGGGTTGCTACCCACACGACCCCACCTGTCACTCCCAATCTAGGAGCTCTGATGTCCCCTTCCAGCCTCTGTGGCACGGCATAAATGAAAACATGCGCTGACAGTTTTTCACCTGACGATTGCTTTCCCTATATTAAATTTAACCTCTTGAATTCAGGCTGTGGACAGAGAGGCAATTCAGCCTAGCGACTGTGCTGGGTAATTAGCAAGTAGCAAGGCTGAACCTGTCCCCAAACCTTTAGGGGTAAGAGATGTGTGAAAACGATAAGGAAAATAGAGCTAACACTGAAAAGTGGCTTAGATATAAGGTTGGGGGAAGATACAAGAAAGGCAAACACACCAGAAGAAAATAGCAGGAAAAACAAGCAAACAAGACCTCTCAAAACCAATAAGCATTGTTCTTAGAATTCAGAAGGGGGAAAAATGGAATAGAAAGGAATGGGTTGTTTTGGTGTAGACACTGCTCAAACTGGATCTTCTTTATCTGTCTATAAATTTAGACTCATTTCAATGGTAAACTTTTGGTTAAAAAACAGTGAAAGTATTATATTATACAGTTTCTTGCAAAAGTCTCACAGTTCTGACTCTTTATCATTTTCATCCAGGTAGTATTCGTCATCTGTGGTTGTGTCTGTGTCCCAGTCCGAGTCCATTGGGTCCACGGGGTCCTCCTCATAGATATTAAGTGGTGCGTTTAAAAATAAGCCGTCTTCTGGCGCCTGACCACCAGGAGAATTTAACAGCTCTGACTGCGAGAGGTTGGAAGCATTAAGTACCTCATCCTTGAGGAAGCCAGGGTTCTTGAGAAAACTTGGCTTCCATAATCTTCCTTGTGTGAGTGACCGTTTGACATTCTCCAAGAAAGCCAACTGCTGCTCTTTCCCAAAAATCCCATAATCAATAGGCCTGGAAATGGATGAGGTGGACTTCGGGCCCACTCGCGTCCTGTTATGCAAAGCCCAACTTTCGCCTTCATAAGAGGCGGGAAGCTCAGAAAAAGATTTGAATCTTCGACTGTAGCCGCTGTGGTGGGAGGAGTCATCTTCAAGGGACAGTTGCCTCAGAGCACTGTCAATGGAAGTGTTTTCAGAGAAGTGGCGCCCCCTGGCTTTGGGAGGCTGGCTTGCGCACAGCAGGTCACCACCCACACTGAAGTTTTTTAAACTCTTGGACCGATAGAGGTGTGGCTCAGGAGACGGAGCACTCCTGTCGCGCAGCTGACCCTGGGAGAAGTCAATTGTAGATTTCTGTGCAGGCTCCAGGGGTAAAGGACTTAACCTCTGCCGACGGTCAGAGCTGTTTTCTAAGGGGCTGGCGAGTGTAAGCTGCGCTGGGGCTTCCGACTCCCCTGAAGTCCGGGCTTTAGAACCCTCACTCTTTGGTGGTGTTTCTAAGACACTGTTGGACTCGTTCTGATGTGGTGGTGGAGTGTTAGACTCCTGATTACAGGACTGACAAGGAGGTTCTGGGTTGGGTATTGCAGTAGCCTGGAGAAAGGTCTCAGATTTGCTCACATTCGTCAGGCTGCTTTTATCTGCGGAGTCTGTGGAGTTTACAGTAGGTTCAGGGGAGAGTGGGCCGTCCTCTGGTCTGCAAAGAGATAGCCGCGGAAAGCCAGATTTGCTTTCACTTTGGGAGAAGACAGTAGCTACGTGTTTTCTGGTACTTAAATCCCTAGCTGGGATTTTTCTGCTTGCCCTTCTGTGTTTAACTGAGCATCTGTCTGCTTTTGTTTCTAGGTCACCCGTGTTGGTTATATTTTTATTATTTCCTCCAGGGAGTAAAGGTTGATCCCATGCCAACTTTTGTGTTTCATCTCCAAGCTTCCTCACCTCTGCTGTATTTGTCTCCTGACTTCCTGATGGCCTGGGTCCCGACTGCGGGTCTGCTGCCCCTGTCTGAGCCCCTGCGGCAAGCTGCAGCTTATGCAACGCTGGCGTTAGGGCAGAGGCTTGGCTTTCTGAGTCAGAGGGCGTTCTGGCAGTCAGCTTTTGGCAGTCTGATCCAGCTGTCCCACTGGTTTCCCTAGGCTGTGAGCCACGAGAACTGTCATCCACAACCACCGCTGCATGATCTCTCCAAGGAGACAGTCCACTTCCTGTTGACATAATGGCCATGCCACCCGCGCTTGTTCCAGAATTTCTTCTGATGTGGGAATTTTCAGCATTATCTTCTGAGTGGGATGGGAGACCAGAGGGATCGCTGTTTCCTCCTTTAAAAGGCTGTTGATGACTTTTAGTGCTTTCTTCTGCAGCACTTTTTTCCTGAAGCAGTAAAGGGGTCTGTTGGGTTTGTTTTAGCAATTCCCCACCTCTCTCCTTCCTGCTTAGTGAGTCATCTGCAGCTGTTTCAGATAAGTTACTTGGGAACATCTCTTCTGTGTTAGGTTCTCCTTTATGAAGAGAAACATCTGGCTTCGAAGAAGCTGTTTCCTCTAATGTAGATTTGGAGGCCTCCATGTTTGGTAATTGGGAGCCAGCCTGATTGTCCAAGTCGTGAGAAAGACAGCACGGAGCAGAGTCAACGGGCAACTTTAGGTCTTGCAGTAGAGGCATTCGGGACTGCACTTGCGCAGGAGAGTTCAGCTCATCACTTTCTAAAGCATTAGGAAATGCTTTAGCCTCTCCCTGAAAAGCGTCCCGGAGTGAATCGGTATCATGTGTGTACTGCTGAAGGAGGTTGCAGAACTTCTTGCTGGGCTTCCTTGGTAGAGTGTAATATATTGAAACTACCTCCAGACACTTCACATTCTCTTCATCCCCGGAAACAGAAAACATGCTAGTCGTCTTAAACTTATGTAATGCTTTCCCACGCTCCTTTTCTGATCCAACTACACACAAAGGCTCTGGGCTTTTGTTTGAAAGGGTAAATGAGCTCATCCTGGGGGCAGGAGTCTCACCATCCTTTCCAGGGTGTTCTAGAGCAAATTCCTTTTGGTTGTGTCTTTCGGAGAAAGTACTCGCTCCAAATGCTGACTCACCCTCCAGAGAGTTAAAGATGGTGCCCCCAGGCCTGGGTGTTACAGCAGAAGCATCCCTGTCCAGGGCTGGTGACGTTTCTCTCTCACCACTTCCAGCCAAGGTGCATGGCTCCCCCGAGGGACATGATGTTGCCCTCTTGATGAGGAAAGGGAGCGGCCCCTTCCTAAGAGAAGCCGATCTGATGGCTTTCATATCTGTCATTCTCTTGGTGGCTTCGGGTGTCCCCACGACTGAATTTGAAGCATCACTCACTGACTCAGGAGAACCGGGTTTGTCAGATGCACTCTTCCCAGTGGGGACTTCCGCTTTATTTTTCACTTGGAACGGAAGCGGCCCATTCCTGACGGAAGCAGCCATTACCTTACTTTCCGGCTGTCTGCTGTGTGTGAGGAAGCTGGCTGATTTTCTCGGCAAGGTGCAGTAGACTGAGCTGAGCTCAGGGGCTCTGACATTGCTTTGGTCCTCAGCAAGGCTATTGCCTTTGCCTGTGGGTGCTGCTCTGCTCTCTGTTTTGGTTAGCTCCTCAATACAGGAAATGCGGCGTCTTACTCTTCCTTTCCCCCTCCCATTTCTGAAGGGAGAGTATGGATGGCAGAGGACAGCACCATGCGTAAGTGCAGGACCACCAGGATTCTCCTGGCTGCCTCCAGAATTTACAGCCAACTGATCATTGCGGTTCTTCATAGCCTTGTCTTTTTCTTCTCTCTGTTCTTGAGATGGGTCTTGGTCGGAAAGGCCCCTGGAGAACACTGTAGTGGAAGGTGCCAGAAGGGCATCCTGGAAAGACTCATTCAGTGGTAAGGAATCTTGGGGTGCCCCTGACGACACACCTGAAAGGCCTTGTGAGACGGTGTGCCCAGCAGCCAGCTTACTGCCATTGGCAGAATGAGTGAAAGGGTATCGCTGTCGCTCAAGGTCTAAAAGAGCGGGCTCCTCTGGGGACTGTGGCTTTTGGTTAGCAGTGGGTTCAAAGCACCAGTGGCTGTTTTTAATGATGCTTGAAGTGTCTTCATGACTTCCTGTTGTCTGGTAACAATCTTGATTTGGGTTGGGATGAGATGGTGATGTACCGCTTTCTTGGACAAAAGGCAGGGAAGCTGCTGAGTCAAGTTTCCTGTTCCCAGGAAAACACTTACTTTTGCTCAGTTCCTGGCCTTTATCTCTTTGTGTTGTATGAATTTCGGATGTACCTTTCCTGGAAAAGACCCTGGGTGATCTTCTGGAACTCTCTGTGGCAGATGCATTAAAGATATACCTGTCATTTTGGGTTGAGTCCTGGGAGGGGGCGCTTTGAAAATCAGGTAAATCATTAGAGATCACTATCTGTGAAGCAGGTTGGGGTAACCCACTTGGCTTGTTTTTCTGGCTGCTCCTGTTTAGCTGTTCATCCTCTGGAATAGATTCATTTGTATCTTTTTCACTGTCCATTTCTATCACTGGGATGTTGGACTGGGTGTCAGCAAGAGACAGTGATTCAGTCGACTGGCCACAAGCTACAGTAACTTCTGTACAGCTTCTTATTGGAAGAGAGTCTGGCTTATTAGAGACTATTTTCTGCAAAGGAACTGTGGGATTCTGGAAGCTGGGACTCCGAGCCTCCCTTCGGCAGTCAGGAATGAGGGGGGAGGGAGGTCTGAATGCGGACACTAGAGTCCGAGCTTTGCTGAACAAACAAGGCTCTTCATCTACAGCTGCAGCTATAGGACAGTGGTCCTGCTGAGAGTCCAGCCTACAAGACTGGACATGGAAGCTTGAGCCAGCTACGGAAAAGCCATCTGCTGTGACAAAATGGGGTGGCAAATGGTTCTCATTAACATGTGAGGTGTCCATGCTTTCCAGTGGGGACGTTTGAAAATCAGATCGCCAACAATGTGGATCTTCTTGACCTCTGTACACATATGGTCCATAGCCAGGAGAACGCGGCCTCCAGTGCTGAGAAGGGACACCATGGCTGCAGACAGATGGTGCCCTGGTTGCTTCAACGGAAATCATTTCGAAGTCCTTCTCAGAAGAAGGAAATGGCTGCCTGCCATGGGGAAAGTCAGACCAGGAAGAATGCTCTTCCTGTTGGCTCCAAAAAGAATTCTGTCCAAATCTGTGCTCTCTGCTCTGTCTCAAGGAACTGCAGAAGAAAGACCTCTCAGATGGGTTATGCTGCTGGTAGAATGGCACATTCTCCGAGTCCTCCAACACATCAAGACCCATTGCATTATCCATGGGAGTGCTTACAGGGTAGCTCTGGTAAGCGTTCTGCGAATGGTACAACCCATACCTCCTACTTTCCTGAAAACACTTAGGAGATACATACTGATCAGGAGGGTCAATGTCCATTGGTGATGGGACCCCTGGTGGCCCTTCCAGATCCTGTCTATGTCTAGAAAAATCTGACCTGTTCCATATGATTGATGATAAAGGCGTCCTTTTGGGGCTTTGCTGGTGCCTCAGTGGAGTAAAACTACTCTTGTTTTGAGTATCGGCTGGGAAGTGTAAACTTCTGGCAGTAAAACGCCTGGCAGCTGGTGAGGCTGATCTTTGCCGGCTGTCGAAGCACAGAGATGTACTACCAAACGTATTCTTTTGCATGAAATCTTCTTTTAAGACTCTGGTGTCCCTGGTCCTGTACATATCATAAATTGTCTTTGTCCTGGGAGAAAAGGTTTTGAAGCCTTCTCTAGGAGTTCCTGGTCTCAGGATGTCGTAGATAGACATGTTGGAAGTTTCACTGAGGTAGTTTTGATGTCTTCCTGTGACGTGACCGTGCCTGCTCCTACTCGGGTGAGAATACTTGAACTGTGTTCTTGATGCGTAGCTGAATGGCGCTCTGGTATTCACCAGGCCTGCAGATTGCTCCTGAGCCAGCTTGCTATCCAAATCATCTAAAACTAAAGAAGAATGGGAATTAATTTTTTGTATGTGATTTTGTAGTTTTATAACAATCAGTCTCATTGAAGTTTCCCTTCTGAGAATCATATTTTCTTATTGTAAATATAAATATAACATTAATATTTTTCCCCTTTTTGGCTTGTCAAGATAGGGTTTCTCTGTGTAGTCCTGGTTGTCCTGGAACTCGCTCTATAGACCAGGCTGGCCTCGAACTCAATCTGCCTGCCTCTGCTACTCGAGTGCTGGGATTAAGAAAGTATGCCACCACTGCCTGGCTAATAGAACATGAATCTTGCTGATGTTTAAATGATAATATGACTTTTATAAGACTGTAATGCAATTTTCTTTCTTTTTTTCATCGTACCTTTAAGGATATAAAGCTATATTTTGGGGCTGAGGAGATACCTCAGTCAGTAAAATGCTTGCTGTACAAGTATGAGGACCTGGATTCAATCCCCAGGAAGAAGCAGAATAGTGGCATGAATCTGTAATCCCGCAGGGGGGATGTTATGTCCTTGTAAGTTTTCTAATTTGTAATTAAGAAGCAGTCCCTATCCTGTGCAGGCTAAGATGTCTGTTTGTAGTTATAAGTTCCTGTTTGTCCTATGTTAACTCCTTGCAAGTTAAGTTTTCTAGTTGTAATTAAGAATAGGTTCCTGGGTTGGAGAAATGGCTCAGAAGTTAAGAGCACTGGCTGCTCTTCCAGAGGTCCTGAGTTCAATTCCCAGCAACCACATGGTGGCTCACAACCATCTATAATGAGATCTGGTGCCCTCTTCTGGTGTGCAGGTGTACAATATTGTATACATAATAAATAAACATATATAAAAAAAAGAATAGGTTCCCGTTTCTTCGACCTGATGTAAATTCTTACAACCCCATTCACACAATGAATGTCCTTACCCCTGTTTTTCCCCTTTCTTAACCATGTGTAACGGCCAACTCTTTCATCCTCTCCACCTTGTCTCTCCTTATAAAAGGGATTTCAGGAGGCCAGCAGGGCTGCTCTCTCAAATCCCGATTTAGGGTGAGAGCTGGCTGGCCAGTGCCTGCTGTGCCCTAACATACACCTTGCTTTAATTGGACAATCGTGGGCTTAGTTTTTTCTCTTTGAGATTTTCAGGTTTAACACCTGTATCACTCCGAACCGTAATTAATCACAGTAAACATCTTCCTCTGTCAACCTGTGGTAACTACACTCTCTTTAAGGTGTTTACATTTTTCTAAGACTTGCCTTATAATAGACATATCATATATATTTTATGATGAATACAAATCAATTATGCATTTACTGGTGAAATATTCATTAATAAAAATTAGATCTGTACTATTCAGAGTGCTGCAGTTCTGGGCCTACAGAAAGCTTTCTTTTGATGTAGATGTCATTTAAAGTTTTTTTTTTTTTTTAAACTAAAGAATCATAAAAAGCAAGGCATGTCTGCATGCACACAGCTGTCATGCACAGCTGTATAAGCAATGTGCCAATCACTTCTGGGCAGACACTAGAGGGATCTTTTCCCTTCTCCTCTGGACTTTTCTGTAAGTGCTCTTGAGCTGACAAAGCCATCAGAACTCATGTTGATCACTCAGATCTTACAACGAAAGGATTCTTAATGAAAAACCATTTGATTCCTAGTCACTGGAATAATCCACAATAAAGATTATCAGGCTATGTCAGATTATAAGGCAGAAGAAAAAAAAGAAAAAAGAAAACTCTACAGAGTTAGTAAAAATCTGGCCTTAAAACAAATGATAAAAGTCTCTTGTTTCCGTTCTCTTTTTTTTTCATTTAAAATAGTTTTTCTTTTTTTCATTTTCATTTTATTTTTATTAATTACAGTTTATTCACTTTGTATTCCAGCTGTAGCCCCCTCTCTCATTCCCTCCCAATCCCATCCTCCCTCCCTCTTCTATACCCCTCCCCCAGTCCACCAGTCCACCGATAGGGGAGGTCCTCCTCCCCTTCCATCTGACCATAGCCTATCAGGTCTCATCAGAACTGGCATCTTTGTCTTCCTCTGTGGCCTGGTAAGGCTGCTCCCCCGTCAGCTGCTTATGTCCCATCCCTGTCATATGTGGCCATCCTACCCCCCCCCCCAACACACACATTAAAGCCTTATGTTAAAGACAAAACAAAACACATTTAGAACAGAAAACAAAAGAAATCATGGACACTTGGACTCCCTCCTGGGAACAGCCACTCTTGTCACCCCATAACAGAATTCAGGCACTCAAAGTTGGTCAGAATGTCACATTATCGGGGCTGTTTTTCTTACTACTCCAGAGGCCGGAAAAATTAGTGCTCTGCCTCCAGCCTTTCTTTTCAGAGGCTTGTGCTGATTCCTCTTCAAGCAAAAGCTTCACTTGGAATAGATTTCCCCCTGGTCCCTGCCCACCTTGCTCCAGGGTGTTCCTAGATGAAGAGCCTAGCCTCAGGCTCTCATGACTACCACTGGTCCCATTTCACAGCAAAGCTGTTTCCTCTCTGCAAAGCTGCTGGATGACTATGGACTTAACTCTCGTAATGGCCTCGGGCATGGTGATACAGAATAATGCATGTAAAGTGAACTATGGTATCAATAATATGATTCATGTGCATTCTGTACTTCTGATATCTGGGTGAGTGGGTGAATTGTTTAATGACTACTGGCTTGCTCACAGGGCATTTGTGCCCTAATCAATAACAATAAGAGACTTTTAAGAGCAAGCTTTTAGATGTATTTCTTTTTGACCCGAGGTAAAATATTAAACACCATCACTGGTCCATAAGTTTGTCAGTCTTTGATCTCAGATTATTTGCTTAGATTATGTTTAGCCATAAGGTTCTTCAAGATTTGGGTTCATAACATAGAATGGAATCCTCTTGAGATGGAGGAAGCAAGTTCAGGCCTTGATTTGTTTAGAGCATTCAGTACAAATACTCTCTCTAGTTCCCAGAGTTCCTAGGGAGACCTGATGCATGAACTTACCTTGAAAAAACTCACTCTCCAGCAGGGAAGCGTCCCAGGGGGGAGGCATGCCACTCTCCTCCCTCATGATGGCCGGCTTAGGAACAAGCACACTGGCAACTGGTTGACTCCCAACAGGTGAATTGTATATTTTTGCCTGTCAATTTTCAAGTAAAAAAAAATATATAATATTATATTATATCTTCTCCAGCTAAAACACTTGTATGTTCCTCCAAAGGGTCAGTGGTGCTAGTCTAAGAACTACTGATCAGTTTTTCCAACATTTATTTCTCAATTTGGTGTTTTCTTATTTTTGCTATTTACAATGGGTCATGGACACCTACCCATACCCTCATACGCATGTTTTCCTAGATACGTATTCACACATACGTTATCCTACACACGCACTGGTAAGTACCCTCTCCTACACTCATATGCATGTGCATGTTCCCTTACACATATCCATACATGCATGCTCTCCTACACATACTCTCATTTGCACATTCCCTATGCACACACCTACGCACACTCCCCTCTATATATCTTTATACATACACCATCCCCCACACATTCCTATGTCCACTCCCTGCACATACATTCATATGTACAATCCGAAATACATAATTCAATGAATGCTAATGGTTTTAATAACAATGTTCAGGCAGGCGCTGAGACTCTTACAGAATTAAGCAGGCTTTATGGTAGAAGAGCGATTCCTGGCAATCCGGAAGTTAACCGTTCTCAAGTTGGGGGTATCGTCTTTACGGTGCTAATGGCTAGGACTTTGGATTTCCTAACTGTGCATTTTCTGTTAAGAGCATCTTAGCTGTGATCCAAGTGGACCTTGAGTTTTGTGAACTCAAAGGGCTTGAGAAAAGACAGTGTTCCTATCCAGAGGCCATTCCAAATGACAGAACAGAGAAGAAACACAAGGAAGATGATCACGTAAAACAGAAGGAAGTGCAGCAGAGGGAAGAGGGCAAGGGGAAGGAGGAAGTGAGTGGGCAGGGGAGAAAGACTAGAAAAATAAAGTATGAAGATGCCACAAGAGAAACTCATTACATTCATGTTAATTTCAAAAATGAATCAAATCACATTCTACGAGCAAGAAACGAAGAACAGAGAACCATCACGCATTCCGTAGTGAGCAGGTTTGGTAATTCTGAAATGAAGGTATTGAAAGGTAAGATCTTGCCTCTTTTTTAAAACTGTTGCTACTTTTAAAGGATTTAGGAGACAGATATAAAGCTAAAGCTGTATTCCTTTAAAAAAACAAAAACTAGCAAGTGCTCATGTTGGTATCAAATTCAGTCACTGTCCCACTTTCAAGCTTGATTTGTCTTTATAACCTTGGGGACAATTATCCACGCCACACCTTCACTTTCCAGTGCCAGGGCCCCACCTGCATGTCCTTTGTCAAACTGGCTCTGTCAGTCCCGCCTCCCACCTCAGCTCATCCTGCCAGGTACACAGGCTGAGCAAGGCTGGCAGCTGTGGTCCTTCCTTTCCCCCTATTTCCTGCTCACTCTGCTACTCAGTTCTTGCCCTCGGAGCTCTTGGCTCCCTAGAGCCTCCTTCCCACCTCACATTACATCTTATCTATAAGGCTGAAGGCTAGAGGCCTAACCTTGCCAAGGCCCTGATTTTCAAATTCCTTCACCACAGGCTGAAATCCAGGTCCTCTTACACCCTCACACCCCGTTTCTCCCAGAAGCCTGCCCAGATTTCATTGACTTGTGTTTGTAGTTCTGTGGACATAAGTGGATACTCACAAAGGGGCCTTATATTATGAAGAAACAATACTCCCATGATAGTTCACTCTTACTGAATATAATCTATCACACATATAAAAATATAAACTAAACAAATAAATAAAACTTTGACTATATATACCCATTAGAGATAAGGAAACTGAAAGTTAATCACTTGAAAATATTGGTTAAGGTTCGTTCTTTATCCCTAAACTGTGAAGAGCCTTCTCTTTCATGGCTCTTCAGTTTTCCATTTTTGTTTTGTCGTTTTGAGACAAGGTGTTACTTTGTAGCCCAGGCTGATTTGGAGCTCACTAGGTAGCCTACCAGGCTGGCCTCAACTTCACAGCAATGTTCCTGCCTCAGTCTCAAAAATTTAGAGCTGTGTACCACAACACTGGCTCTATTCTCCATTTTACCAACAACTTGCTATAGATATTATGAATCTATTATTCCCACATCCACAGTGTTGGTATGGAACGGACTCAGCATATAATATAGGGTAAACATACTAAAATCTACAGTCCTAGAGAAGCTAAACAACAAGGAGGACCCTAGGGAAGATGCTTAATCCTCATTCAGAAGGGCAAACGGGATAGACACCAGAAGTAGAAGACGGGGAACAGGACAGGAGCCTTCCACAGAGGACCTCTGAAAGACTCTACCCAGCAGGGTATTGAAGCACATGCAGGGGGGACTTTTAAAACCCTGCTGAGAAAAGGGAGTCTATCATCATAGACGGAGCACAAATAAACTGATCTAGAGATGACCGACTTCAGCCTCATCCAGCAGAGCCTCACAGAATCTCAGGGCTCCTAGTACAGTTTCATAGTTCTCGGTCTGGCAGAGTACTGTATCCCGGTAACAGCGATTTCTTCAGCTAAACCCAGCTAAACCCAGGCCTCACAGCACCATGGTGCAGCCGCAGGCCCTTGTGCTGAAAATCAGTCCCTGGTCCTCAGTTGGGGTTCAGCCTCGCCCCTCACGACACAGAGTCACCATAAAATGAAAAGTCTATTTCCTGTCCTTGGCTTAGAAAATAAGGGTCGGACACCTTTTTGCAGTAAAGTCACGTCAAGGACCTTTCCCTCCGTTTGATGTAAGCCTTTACTTCCCTCTGCCCAGAGTCCCCGTGTCTAAGGTCTGATACACAGGGCCCTAGATAGCACAGACTTCTAGACCTTTGTCCCCGTGTCCCTTATTTTTGTTTTTCTCAACCTTTTCTTCACCCTGCAAAGTCCAGGTCCTGTATTGCTACTTTGTCCACAGGAGCCAGTTCTCAACTCTCCCAAGCAGAATCCATTCCCACCGGAATCTTCCCACCCTTCCGCTACTGCACATTACAGCATCATGTTCAGAGTTTGGGTTCTTTTTATTTTCACTCTGCCATTAGCTTCCTCTCCTTCCTACCTGCCAAAGATCTCCTTCTGCTCTTATCAGGAAAACCAAGGATTCAAAGACAGATGAATGAGGTTCTGGAGGTGGCCAGCTTCCAAAGGAATCAACTGGTGTTCTGCATCACGAACACCAACATAATGCGTAGTCTGCAAGGGGTGATGAAGCCAAGCTCAAGAGACTCTCTCCCCCTACGGGAATAGTCTTTCCTTCTGGACTTCTCTAAAAGATGTTTAAAAGTTTGTGTGGAAGTGGATAAACTCAGGAGATAGTGTCTCGTCTTCCTCTATCACGTTCCACATTGTTCTCTTGCTAAGGTCTCCTATCACTGAATCCGAAGCTTGCCATTTTGGCTAGACTGGCTGCCTAGTGAGCTCCCATGATGCACTTGTTTCCACCCCCCAGGACTGGGGTTATAGGAATGCAACCTGGTTCTTTTTATTTTTTGTTTTTCAAGACAGGGTTTCTCTGTGTATCCTGAGCTGTACTTGAACTCCCTTTGTGGACCAGGCTGGTCTCAAAGCTCAGTGATCCACCTGCCTCTGCCTCCTGAGTGTTGAGATTAAAGACATGAGCCATCACCGGCTGGTTTTATAAGATAGCTCTTATGTAGGAGCTGAGGATTTGAACTCAGGTCGTCATGCTTGCATAGCAAGTGCTCTTCCCTACTGAGCCATCTCCCTAACCCTCTAATACATCTTTTTTTCCCCTACTCATTTGCTACCAACATTCTTATATTCTAGCATAATTATTCATTTTAAAAAATAATTAGTGGGGGTGGGCCTGGAGAGATGGCTCAGAGGTTAAGAGCACTGGCTGTTCTTCTAAAGGTCCTGAGTTTGATTCCCAGCAACAACATGGTGGCTCACAACCATCTCTAGTGAGATCTGGTGCCCTCTTCTGGTGTGCAGGCAGAACACTGTATAAATAAATAAATACATCTTTAAAAACTAATAATTACAGGGCTAGAGAGATGACTCAGTGGTTAAGAGCACTGGCTATTCTTTCAGAAGACCTGGGTTCAATTCCCGGCACCCGCAGGGCTGCTAATAACTGCCTGAAGCTCCAGTCCGGGGCACCAACACCTTCTCGCCTCTGTGGGTGCTGCATGCATGTGGCGCACAGACATACATGCAGGTCAAACAACCATACGTAAAAGACAAATAAATAAACCTTTAAAATGACATGTTGATTTATTTGAGGCTGTGTGTACCATGGCATTTTTGTGGAGGTCAGAGGTCAATGTGTATCTCAGGGATGCAGCTAAGGTTGTTGGGCCTGGTGGCAAGTGGCCCCCTGCCCTTTTAACCCTGTGAGATACCTTGCTAGCCCTCGGTTACTTTTTAAATACTACACCGCTTACATCTTTTCTCCTATACCCTTATAACAAATTTGTGGTTTAGTTAGGGATTTATCATCCCCATTCTGGAGATAAAGCAAGTGAACTTCACGTAAGGGTCATACTGACGTCACCTCAATGCCGTAGTGGTGGTGGCTGTCCACACTCATCTGAGCTGATCCCGAGCCCTGGTCGCTCCATGGTAACTTCAGCTAACGCACATATCTACGTAACAACCCATCTGAGAGGGAACCCCACACTCCCTGCCTTTCTGTGTGGAGTGACACTTCGTACGTACTTATGAACTGACTTACGACACGCCAGGATGGAAAACCACAGAGGGAAGGTTGCTAGTGAATCTTACAGCATTATTGAGTTATAGAAATTTTTTTCACACTCAGGAGTCAGAGCCAGGAGGACCTCTGAGTTCCAGGCCAGCCTTGTTTACAGAATGAGTTCCAGGATGGCGGCAGGGCTATGTGGAAACCCTGTCTTGGGAAGAAAAAACATAAGAAAAACATTTTCCCTATCAGGGCCCAGAAAAGCATGCTGGAGGGAAGACAGCGTAAGTGCTGCACAGCGGAGGCCCAGCCTCTGTCCAGGAGTGTCTACAGCAGCAGTTCTCAACCTGTGGGTCGTGACCCCCTGGGAGAGGGGGTGGAACATCATACATATATCCTGCATATTAAATATTTACATTACAATTCATAACAGTAGCAAAACCACAGCTATGAAGTAGCAACAATGATGATTTTATGGCTGGGGTCACCCCAACATGAGGAATTGTGTTAAAGGGTCACTGCCTAGGAAGGTTGAGAACCACTGATCTACATGGCTCTGGGCTAATTCCTTAACCTTCTGTGCTTAGTGACTTTGTTGGTCAAATAAAACTAAGGACGATATCAAGCAATGCTTCCTTTCTGGGCTGCTGAGAAGGTGAGCTGATGTATCAGCTGGGAACCACGGAGAGAGGGGTCCAGGCCTCGGTAAGTCCTCTCCGCCTACTGTTGCTGTTCTTTGGGGTTATGGAGAATTCTCTGGAGAATGCCTGAGATTCGTAGAGCTCGTGAGCTGGGCAGATGCCCAACAGGACAACGTTCTCAGACTCTGGCTTTCAGGAAACAGGGAGCAGAAAAGCCACTGAGTAACCAGGACCTTTTACACAACTTCAATGCCCTCTGCTGATACTGTCTGCGGTGTTGACATAACTGAACAAACAAAGCTCCTGTCAGAGTGTAACCTGCGAACATTTGAGAACGTCCCAGGGCGGCCAAACCTGCAGGGCGGCTGTGGGAGCCCATGCCGCCGCCCGATATTATCAAATGCCTGGGTAAAGTCAACAAATTAAATTTTCAGGTACTCCCTGCTTTCTTTTCTTCTTTTTTTTTCTGTCTGCTTTCCTGCAGAGATCACATTCAGCAGCGTGTTCACGCCCCCCTGGCTCCTGCTTTCAGATCCTGGGCACACAGGCTCTGCCAGGCAAGGATATGCACAGAGAAGTGAGATGCTATCTGCTTGATAAGTCTCACTCTGGGGGTGTGTTCCTCCAGAAACAGTGTTGGCAGTAGTGAGCTAAACTACATTGTGTTCAGATAAACCAAGAGCAACTATCTGGCCCACGTCACATTTTTCTTTTCTTTTCTCTTCTTTTGAGACAGGGTCTCACGTAGCTTGGGCTAGCCTTGACCTTGCTATGTAGCAGAGGCTGCTGTGAACTTCTGACCTTCCCACGTGCTGGATTTACAGGCATGCATCACCACACAGTGGGTTTGTCTGGTGCATACACACACAAGTGTGTTTTAATATACACACACATTTGGTCTATATACTCCTACGGCCCAGGCTAGCCTTGAACTTGCTATGTATACAGAGTAGGGAATGGTCTTGAACTTCTCTGATCTTGCCTCCACCTCCTAAGTGTTGGAGTTACTGGCACAGCATATGCCTGGTTTATGATGTGATGCGGGGGATCAAACTCAAGCAAGCACTCTATCAGCTAAGCGACAGCTCTGTTGCTGAAGGTGGACTTTAACTTTAGATTCTTCTCTTGCCAGGAAATTGTTCTCAGCTGGAGGCTACATGTTCCAGAGGGACCACAGCTGGATGGAAGAGAGATGCCGGCATCCTGTATGCAGAGGTGAGGTGCTTTGGCACACCCTGCCATATCCCAGCCAGTGCCCTCACAGACCATGGTTGGGCTAAAGACGTCCATGGCACTGAGTCTGAGAGGAATCCTGGGCTAGGCAATCTCTAAGTTTCCATCTAGTGCCAAAGCATTCCATGTTTCTGGGATGCTTTATTTCTTTTTATTGTGCAGATGTTTAAGTAGTGCCTGCCACCTCTTCTCAGAGGAGGGTCATTCAATCACACAGTAAGTCTCACACAAAATACTAACAGCTCCCCCATACCCCCATGTATCATCCCTGCCCAGCTGCCAATCCAGTGGTGGGAAATTCATCACCTCAGGTTTGGCAAGAATCCCTGTGGCAGCAATGGTCAACTTCCAGGATGCCGTACACAGCTGTGGCTTTAGGCAGAATTTCTATTCTTTCCCTTTTTGTCACTGGTGGTACCGGATAGTCACTCTCAACAAGGCTCACTGGCAGGTCCCTTGTTGCAGGATATTTGATCCCATTGTGAACCCAGAGACTGTGAACTGTAAAAGCCTGTTTCTTGTTTTGTGTGGCTCAGCCTTAGCACACACCTTTAATCCAAGAGCTTTCTGAACCTAGGATTTAGTAAAGTTAACTGGAGGTCAAGAGGCAGAGCAGGAAGCCAGCTGAAAGGGATTAAGTAAAAGGAGGGACTTTGAGCTGAAGGGTATTTCAGACAGCGTGGAGAAGAATAAAGGGCTCTTTGGCTTTTAGCTTTTGGCTTTTTCTTCCTGGGCTGTCGGGTGAGATGGCAGGCTTTTCCCTCTGGGATGTGAGCCGAGAAGGAAGGTCAGCTGGGTGCTCTCTCTGCCTCTCTGAGCTCGCAAGTTGTCACCCCAGCATCTGGCTCCTGAGTCTATGTTGATAAAATTAAATGATTTGGGATTATCATTCATTAAGACAACAGTCCCTTACATGCTGATACTATGAAATAGCTGATTAAAAAGACAAGCAGGAGCGATTTTTTTTTTCAAGATGGGGCTTTCTCTTTGTGTGCACGTGGAGGCCTCAGACATAATGCCTTAGTTGCTATCCACCTTTTTATTATTTCAGATAGACCCTCTCCTTTTTCAGATAGGTTCTCTCTCCTTTTTCTTTTTTTAGATCGGTTCTCTTTCTGCTCTGGAGCTTGCCGAGTAGACAAGGCCCAGCGCTGGGAACAGGTGCACCCACCACAGCTGGCTTCGTGTGAATGTGGGTGCGCCATGCCACAGTGCACACGTGGGCTCGCAGTCCTCACCCGCAACTCTGTTTGGGGCAGGGTCTCTCTTGTTGCGTATTTCAGGCTAGCTGAGCCAGGAGCTTCTGAGTGAGCAGCTGAGAGCTGTTTCACCTCTGCCCCCCACCTCCCAGGGAGGGCGGTGCTGCGATCACAGTCCTCCGTATTTCTACGTGCTCTACACTTTACCCGTTACACCAAGGCTGCCAGTTCATTTATTTATTTTAGGCTTGCAAGGCAAGGACATTACTGCCAGAGCTATCTCCTTATAATTATCAGGAAAAAAATATCATTACCAGGGAGAAGAGTCTACTTTTGTTTTCACGCAATGAACTTGTGCTCGAGTACAGCCCTCACCACGATTGTACTCGTACTTGCTGTAGCGAGTGGGCGCGCCAGTGCTCAGGGTGCAGTCATTTGAAAACTGCCCCTCCCTCTTCCTACGCTCTCAGCAGCCCCCTCAAAAGCCCACCTTTTATTTACAGATCATTAGCCATACAGAAAACGCAAAGCAGGAGCTATGATCTCAAAATAAAACCAGAAATAGAATACTTCTGATTCTCAACCTTGAAGAATATGTAAACACAGTGGAAAGCTGGACTTTCTGCCTTTGCAGCCGGAGAGGTGGCTCAGTGGTTAAGAACACAGTCTGTTCTTCTAGAACAGCCAGGTTGTATCACCAGCGCCCCTCACGGTCTTTAGTTCCGGGAACCTGACACCACTTCTGGCTTCTGTGGGCACTGTTTGCAAGCGCTTGCACAGACAGCAGCTTGCACACGCAGCCAAAACACCTATGTGCTTAATATGTCCTAAGTATGTAAGTAAACAAATACATGTCTGCCTTTGGTACTCAAGAGTTGTGTGTGGTCAAGCCCCTTCTGTGAGCCTTCCCCATCCACACATACCTTCAGGGGTTTCCACTTTGAATGAAAACACGTCCACACTCAGAAAGGATCCAGCTGACACTCACTTGATGAAAATGTGGCTGTGACTGCCCCATGCCTCCCACCACAGTCGCCAGTTCAGTGCTGGACAGGAGGGACATGGGGTTGACAGTGGAGGCGCCAGCTGTAGTGTGGCGGAAACACACCAGCTACGGCTTCCTGCAGACTCTAGGAGGTGAGTGTGGACCAGAGCCATCCAGAAACTTTGGACTCTCTGGGAGAAATCTGAAACCAACGTGAAGCCAAGCCGAGGAGAATCCTGCTCACCGAGGCAGCCGCTCGGGGTGACACAGATGCTGTGTTTTCAGGGCCACCTCTGGTTCCCCCGCCACTTACCGCAGCTGTCTCCCTCGGAGAAGGTCCTGCACCATCAGCACACCTGCGGAAAGAATTTGAGATCATTTCTTTGAAGAGGCTGACTTTCACCAGGAAGAAAAGCCAATGAAATAGCACAATTACCATTACCTGACACTATCAAGAGAGAATACGGTGTATTTTTAACGCTCCTTAGAAGGACACCTTTTGGTTAGTGCGTCACCTGAGCAAAATTTCAGAAAACTTTCCCCTTCGAATGCTTAGAATCTGTATTTCTATTTCTGCCACCCACGTAGTTTGCATCTGAGCACAGCATAAACACACGTAACGAACTGCCTATATCTGCTAAATATAGAAACGTGGCTGGCACCAGACTCGCTCAGATCCCCCATCAAGGCAGAGTTCACGGCTGTTTCTGTTTCACAGATGATAAAATAAAGCACAGGGAGGCTGGGAAGCACAGCTTACGAGGCAGTGAGCATCCAGGGTAGGAGCTGGGTGAGGCGGTCTAAATTTATAGTTGTCCTTAACCAGCAGAGTACACTGGCTTCTGTTGCAAATAGAAACATTTCTGGGCATTTCTATTTTAAAGAGCAATTACACCAGGGCCAGAATTAATTTATAAGAACCGTTTAAAAAACAAGCCTTACAAAAATTGCTTCTGGGGGATTTTGTTCATGAAGACGCTGGCTTGAGGTGACATGTCTCAGGAGGCGAAGGTTCTTGCCACCAAGCCTGCCGACCAGAGTCAGATCTGTAGGACCCACATGTGGAAAGAGAGAGCCAGCTCCCACAAACATATGCTGTGGTGCACAATGCTGCCACACATACATACAATAAATATGAAAATAAAAAGGGATCGAAGCCAGCTCGCCAGTCTATAGTACCATGCCAATGTGTGCCCTTGCCGGTCCTGATTCAGGGTTAGACTTCAGTGATTCACAGCTCCTCGTGAAAGTAGGCCACCTCCTCCACCAAGGCAGCAGCCAGGGAACCAAGAGTTACACAAGTTGGGACTGTGGATTGGAGCAGTCAGGAGTGGCTGGGCAACAGCTGACCTTCATCCACTTCCCTGCTTCAGAGTTCAAGCAAGTAGATCATAAAAGCTGGCACGCCAAACGGTTTTATATTTTAAAGATATCCATAGCTGTTTTGTAGTTGATCTTCAACTTGAACAGACATTTAATTAAGTTGTGGATTTTTTTCATACTATTCTGAAATATTAATTCTACTAATAATATCTGCATGCTAAGCACAAGTCAGGATTCCTTACCCAATGTGCTTGGGACCAGAAATATTTCAGTTCTTCTTTCCTTCCCTTCTCTCCCTTCCTCCCTTCTTTTCTTTACAAATATAAAGAAAAAGCACACAGGCTCTAGAACACAGGGCCGCATACACACTAAATAAATAACAAACAAACAAATGTAAACAATCTTTAAAATTTCAAATTTGAAGGACTAGAGAGATGGCTCAGCAGTTAAGAGCACTGTCTGTTCTTCCAGAGGACCTGGATTCAAGTTCCAGCACACATATGGCAGCTCAAAACTATCTGTTATTCCAGTTCAAAGGAATCTGACAACTCACGCCAACGTATATAAATAAAATTAAATACATTAAAAAATTTCAAATATGAGGCTTTTGGATTAGGGGTGCACACACTATATATGTATTTCCTTGGCCTTGTCAGACGAAGTCTTGCCACACAGCCCTGGCTAGCCTGAACTCACTGTGTAAATCAGGCAGGCCTTGAATCTGCCACAATTCTGCGTCTCAAGTTTACAGGACAACATGCCTCTTCCCACTTTTAGTCTTCCTCTGTCTGCACTTGCTGAGTGTAGACTGAATGTAGCTGCATTCCTACTACCAACTGCACTCAAAATGGTATTGTTTTGAAATCTCTGAAGAAAACAAATATGGCTGAGACAGGATCCTGGTTTTCAGAGTGCTTGTAACTGAAGAGCTATAATACCATTTTAGCCTTGATAACGAAAATAGAGAGGCGAGTGAGCGTGCAGACAGTGTAGAGCGGAAGCTACTTCCAGGAGGAGATGCACTGGGGAGCTAGTAGGGAGAAGGTGGCAGAGAACTGCCATGGAGGTCAAGGGCAGGATGAGCAAAAGGTGGGAGCCTGGTGCATGCCTGCCCTCCCAGCCTTCATGGGGCAGAGGAGGATCACCCACACTTGAGATCAGCCTGATCTACACAGCAAGGTCCAGGCCAGCCAGGCTTGCGTAATAAAACCATGTCTCAAAATCAATCGATCAATCAATCGATCAAGCAAGCAAATGATAAAAGGCTGGACAGATGGCTAGTGGTTAGGAGCCCAGGTTCTGTTCCCAGCACCCACATGGTAATTCACAACATTTAGTCAGAGGATCTGACATCTTCTGGCCTCCACAGGCACCAGGTATGTACCTGGTGCACAGACATACATGCAGACAGAACACCCAGAAATGCATAAAATAAATAAAAATGTAAACAAACCGATAAAGACATACCCTACCCAAAAACAAAGTCTTGGAGATAGGAATGTTATCAGTTTGGTCGGGAACTGGCAAGAATTCAGTTAGCCTTGAGCCAAGAGTACGAGCAAGATTGGGTCAGTTCTTCTCATAACTGCAGTGACTGCAGCCCTCACTGCAGCCAGCCTGCTCCCCTACCTGACTGAGAGTCAGCACAACCGAGGCAGGGCGCTGAGGACAGCAAACAAGTGGGAAACGGGACTAAAGGGACACAGGCAGGACAGAGCGCCATCGAGCGCAGGTGTTTGGGCTAGAAGGAGGCACATCGACCTGAAGGGTGTCTGGCCATGTGTGCTACCATCCACTTTGGATGGGGAGAACTTCCAGCTGCCTGGGAGGCCCACATCTCAGCATCTGCAGCAGGCCTGCCAGGCCTTCCACAGGCATCACTGGTGTCATGAAGAATATGTTGGAAAAAGCCCTCTGGGCTTGGCAAAAATAACTCATCCTCTGCATTTATCGCCAGGTCCCTAATGATGTCATATCTCAGAAATCTCTTACAAATAACCCCTCCTCCCACATCAATCATCCTGCTTTATATTCACGTTCTTGTTTCCCTTCTGGAATCCCCTCCATCCTTCATGCCAACAACACAGAGATCTTGTAATCCCTGCCTAAAACTCCTGAAAGGAATTGATCAAAATCTTAACATGACACAAAGTTTTCCTTTAAAATTTTTTTTGTTATTACATTTGTTTATTTAGCATAGGTTTAAGTGTACATGCAGCATGAGGAGATCAAAGGGCAACTGGCAGTTTCCATTATGCGGGTCCTGCGGATCACACTTGGGTCAGCAGGTTTGGTGGCAAGTGTCTTCCCCTATTGAAGCATCTCACTAGCCCAGGGCTTTTCTTTTATTTGGTAAACAACTCGAGCAAGCCCTCGCCCACTGAGCCTTATCTCTCAGCACTCCTCCTAGGCATTTCTGGACCTGTCCACTTAATTCCCCCTCAGTGGCTCTTTCCTTTCCACGCCTTTGCAGATGCCATCTGAGATCCTCATGCAATAGGACAGGGCAGGGCTCAAGACTATCCTGAGAAGATCCACCTATAGTGTCACGGACAGTTCAGACCCCATGGGTTAAACACGGACTTCATCTTTCCATCCACATTCTTTCCTATCTGGTCAACAAACCCTACTGACTCAAACTCAGGGTTCTTTCTCAAATCCATCCTTGTCTCTGCATCTACCTGCCATTACCCTGGTCACAGCATTCACTATATCCTTTTAGTGCAGTAGCCCTTAACTGTCCTGATGTCTCCAAGCTTGTCCCAATCCATTCTCCGTACGAGAGTCAGAGTGCTCAGGTCAAATCGAACGGGGCCTTTTACCACAAACGTTTTGCTTCCCAGTGAAAGGTGAGGTTATTTTCTGCACTCATGAAGCCCTATGTGACCTAGTCTCTACATGCTTTCTGGCCCCATACCCTGATGCCCTATGTCCCCCTTTGTCCCCTCCGCCAGAGGGAGTTTGACTGACACCTGCACTTTTGCACGCACAGTTCTTTGCCTGAAACACTGTCCCGTCAGCTCCGGGCTGGGACAATTATCGAACACTTGAAGGAGCAAGATGTAGATGTCACTTCCTCAAGAAGGCTGAGCTGGACTTTCTCTAAAGCCCTGTCCCTCAGATGTGTTCCCATACCAGATGGGTCTTCTTCACTTGGCTGTTCCTCTCAGACTCTGAGTTTGTCTTCACCTCAAAAGAACCACATGTGTGAAGGTGGGTATTGACTATGTTGGTCCTGTGGAATTCTTGTACAGTCTGGTTAAATAAATGAGCGAAGGTGGCAGCCATTTCCCCCCTTCCCATTTGCTCTTCCTCTTTCATCCATCACCATCTACCTAGTTCCTCAAGGCAGTTCCTCTAGTTCCTTCCTCACCTACTTCCTCACCCCCTATTGTGACTGTCACGATTCCACTCAAAATCTTGACAGACATGTTCATCTTTACATTTGCTATCCCAGTTATGTAGCTGTTTCTTTTCTTCTTGTTGTGACTGATATTTTGAAAGAATCAACCTAAAAGGTGAAGGGTTTATATGGCTTTTGGTTAGAGATACAGCCCAGAGTATGTCTCCTAGATGGTTCAAAACCCAGACCAGTTGGTAACCTAGAATTAAGTATTATAAATCCCCCCCATCCCTAGCTCTTACTTTTATTCTCATTTTCAATTGGTTTTGCTTTTTTGAGGCAAGGTCTTATTTAGCCCAGGCTGGCCTCACACTCACAACGTAGCTGAGGATGGACTGGAAGGGGATTACAGATAGGTACCACCAAGCCAGCATTCCTGCTACTCTGGCTCTAATTTTTCTCCCTTAAATCCATTCTTTGTGCTATAGGTTGGAGCAAAGACCTTGTGTTCTCCTGTGGCGGCCTGTCTTGCTTACTGCAAATGTTTCTCAACGTCTCTGACTTCTCACTTCAGCTGTAAAAAGCGGAAAGGTGTTAAAGCCGGATGTCCATCAAGGCATCAAACTTCCCTTGGCTGAAGAACCACTGAGCCGAATCGATCTTTCTAAAATGCAAGACAGATGATGGCATCTTGAGCTGACTCACTGAGTCTCTGCACCTGGATGAATTTCTGCTTTCTCTGGCGACTATGTTTTTGCTTAGTACAGCCTCTAGTCTTTTAGTCACCCAGCTCGGTCCCCTTCCTCCAGGAAGCCTCCTGGATCCTCTAGTCTATGTTAAGAACTTCCTCTCTTTGGTCCCCTGGCAGAAAGATCCTCAGTCATCAGATTCTTACCAGGTGATAGGTCAGACATCAGTATACCTGCTGCTACCCAGGTGACAGGTAGGCCACTTGGGATCCCTGTGTGAATTCAAAAGGATACAACTTCCTCAAGACCCATTTCCTGGAACTGCCAAAATAAAGAACAGATTCAGTGACATACGCCTTAAATCCTAGCACAGAGGCAGTTGGATCTGAGTTTGAATTCCAGGACAGCCAGGGCTGCACAGGGAAACCTTGTCTTGAAAAACAAAACAAACAAGGAAGCAAAAAAGCAAAACTAACAAACAACAAAAAAGGAAGAACAAAACAAAACAGAAGGATTCTGAGGTGGACCAGCCCCCCACTGCAGGGGATAATCAGAGTATAGAGTCCTTCCAGAAGGGACTTGGCTTTATGGCCACACCTCACCCCTAACACTAAAGGCACCGCTGATCCTGGGTAGGGCTTTGATAAGAGCTTGATTGTACATGAAAGTAAAGCTATAGCCTTGGCTGCTATCACCCATGCCAGGAATGGTGCAGCCTTTCCCTTAGTCTGAATAAGCTGCAGAGCTTCCCAGGTATCCTGGAAAAAGAAAGTTCCCTGGTCCCAGGGCTGTGCCTCCTCAAGCAGATTCCAAAGCCAGGACCTGATCAACTCTTCATGAGAAACTGCTCACGTGACCCAGACTTAATAGAGAAAACCAGATCGACGGGAAGCCACTAGCTACCCAGGATGAAAGAAACTCAGACTTGCCCCGAGTCTCGCTTCTCCTGCTGCTCAGCTGTCTGCAGCGCACCTGGGACCACAGAGGCAACTAGGAAGGATCTCTTTTACTCTGACTTCTGTGGCTAAGGCTCTTAGAGTCTTCTATTCCAGCTCAGTTCGAAAAAGGGGCACGGAAAGGGGAAAGTGGGAGCAAGAGGCACAGAGAATATAAATTCAGGAAAAATACGACGTGCCTTTTAACTTTCCAAAAGAGCTTTTGACCTTTCTGCTTATATAAGGGAGTTTGCAGCTGAGCGGCTCAAGCTGTGTACGCCCTGTGGAGCAGGCAGATTTGGGCATGTCTGAGAAGTGGCTAGGTGGATCCACTAAAGCTACTTGCAACCGAAGGATGAATCAATTCATCCCTAAGGAGCAGAAGGGTGGGCTTGCATCTTCATCCCAAAGTCACAGTTACTGGTCCATCTGGAACCAATGGGACGAGTCACCAGTGTGTCATACACAGTGGCGCTCCTCAAAGGAAAGGAGGCTTCAACTTTACACATTGTTCACGAACTTTGCAAACTAGTTCCCTGCGCTTTCATTCTGGGGCTACCACAAGGAAAAGAGCAATGTAAAAAAAAAAAAAAATCTACATTCCTAAAATTGCCATAACCGAGAGGAGCATATGGCTGTGGCTTTCAGACGGTGGGTGGACAGAGGGTTGGTGGCTCCCTGGGGGAGTGACTTCCTGGTAGAGCATGCTGGGACACATTGCCTCACCATGGCAAGGAGAGAGCAATTTCTGTAATTGGGAATCTGGACCAAAAAAGGAATGGCTGAGGATGCTGTTCAGAAGGCTGTGTACCACAGATACCTACTGAACTCTCGGGAGGGAGCCTGTGGGACACAGAGCTACTGAAATTCTGTGGTGGGGGCTGAACACCACATGCATACACACCAGCTGCCTGACAGCATGACCTGGGGAACGCCACCTACAGGAAAGTGTTGGGGAGAGCTGTTGTACCACACGAGACTGTCTTGAATATACTGGATAGTGATAAATAAAAGATAAGCACAAATGTTTGTCTTTCTTCCTGGGGTTTGGGTCAGTTCAATCGTTTTCAAGTAACATTAAAGTCGTAATGGGAAAGCTGGGGCACAGTGTGAGTTTTGGAGGAAGAGGACAGCCCTGAAGCAGAAACGGAAAGTCATTTTGATTTTTTATAATTTATGGAATTACTATGTTCCTGTGGCTTTCTTTTTTCCATCGGAAGCAATAAAGCAAAACTTCAAGATGACACATATTGCTGGGCCTGGTTTCTCATGTCTGGAATCTTAACATTCAGGAGGCTCAGGTAGGATGATGGCCATGGAGTCCAGGCCAGCCTAGGCTACAGTGTGCAACTCTGTCTCAACAAAGCAAAACAAGAAAAGGCACCTCACCCCCCATTCACTGTACTTTCTCTTATCCTTGTGTGAGGGATGCATTCTAAGATCTCTAGTGACAACTAGAAATCACAGATGGTAGAAAACCCTGTACTTACCTTATTTTTCCTATTACCTATGCTTAATTCATATATTGGGCATAGGAAGAAATAGATATCACCAGTGAATAACAAACTGGGATAATCACAATGTGCTGCAATAAAAGTTATATAAATCTAGCTTTTTCTGTCTTTCGAGGCTTCTCGTCAGACTCTACTGTAGTTTTGGGTCAGGGTTGAGAATTAACTGAATAGGGAGGGGGAGCTATCCTGTTCTTATTGGATAGGCCTTGTAGTAAGCAGGATATCTTGTCAAGTTACAAAATCCCCTCCCCATTCTATTTTCTGAGAAAGGTTATCTATTTCTGGTGTTGTCTCTCAGTGAAAACCAACCCATAGAGTTGAGCGTGGTGGGACACGTTCTTAGGTACAGAATCCAGGAGGCTGGCATCGAAGGGCTGTAAGTTCAAGATGGGTTTTGAGACTAGCCTGGGCTCTTGTCTCAAAAATAGAACAAAACAAACCAAACACCCAAAGCTTACAGGAAAAAAGAAATCCTGGTGTGGTGGCGCATACCTTTGATCTCTGCATTTGAGAGGCAGATGGATCTCTGAGAGTTCGAGACTAGCCTGGTCTACATAGCAAATTCCAGGGCGGCCAGGACTACACAGAGAGACCATGTCTCAAACCAAGAAGAAGGAGGAGGAAAAGGAGCAGGAGGAGAATTTATCAAGGGTTTCATCTTTTGTATATAAAGCTTGGTGTTTTGTCTTTGCTTTTTTGACTTGGTTACTTTTCCTCTGAGTGCTGCTCTGGAAAGTCAAGTTAAGGGCCTCCAGCTCTGGATTAGCTGCTAGAGGCATGAATGCTCCTACACCACTCATGCTCACCTTACCCTTCTATATCAATAACTCTGATGTTGGCTTTTGTGCCTGATATTCAATTGTGTATTTGTTATGAGAACCACAAACATGATTCGATAAAGGAGAAGGATGAAAATAAACAAACTAAAAAGTAAGTTGATTTAAGCATTAACATTGTGGTATAAATTTTACACCTTAAAAGGAATTAAAATTGGCTCACTAAAGTGAAAATACTTTTTTTCCTAAACTGCTTTGCTGCCTTGCTCCCAAGGGCACCAAGCATGACAGTCAAGCCCTTGATGGCTTCAGAAAGTAGAAACCTGACCGTTGCCTGTACTGGGTAACTAGGCTTCCCAGATCCCACCGGTCCCTCCCCAGAGTTCAGGCAAGGATAGCTTCTGAGTCAGAATGCACAGGAAGGTTGCTTTTGTATTCTAGAGATGAAACTGTTAAAGTTAACTGCTCCTTGGGATTAGAGAGACCGTGAGTTCATATTAGCTGCCTTGATGTGACACCTCCTACCCCCTCAAAAAACATACGTTTCCCCACATTTCGGCTTTCTATCCGAACACTGAAATCAAGTTCAAATTTAAAATTAAACAAGGCATACTTTTTGCATGATCCTGTGAGATCTTGTAGCAATAAACACTAGTGTTCATCCTTCATTATAGTCTGTCCTGGCAGACCAAATATTTGTCTGAAAAAGGAGGATCAGTGTGAGCTTGAAGCTAGCCTGGGCTACATGAATTCCAGGACAGCCTAGGCTATAGTATATACCCTTGTCAAAAAAAAAAAAAAAAAAAAAAAAAAAATAAAAAACATTAATGATCATGTTAAGATAAACAAAAAAAAAAAAAAAAAAGCAAGTAAATAAATAAAAGACATTAATGATCATGTTAAGATAAACATTATACATTTCCAGTTTGAGAGTAAGATGTATTTGGGATTGGTAAAATGGCTTGGTGGGTAAAAGTGCTATTGCCAAGGATGGTGACAGAATTTGGTCTCCATCCCACACGGCTGGACAGAACCAGTTCCTGGAAGGTGCCACTGGCCTCCACCACCACATTTCACGGTACATGTGTTCATCCTCTCTGTCTGTCTGCCCTTCTCTTTTTCTTATATACATGGTAATAAAAAATGAATATTTTTAAAAGATGTATTTCAAGATGGCAATGCCCGTGCAGTTCTGAAGTAATGGCATGTGTTGCCTGTCTCCAGGCTGCATTCTCAGTCCGTCTGGTCATGAGTCTGTTTGATATCTGAGAATACATCTACTGAACAGAATTTGCAGGTTTTCTGCTTTCTTTTGCCCTCTGGCCAAAACACATACCAAGAATGAAGATCCTTTAAACCTTTTTATAGTCCTTGATTTACTCTTGCAGAAATATGTAACAGGAGCTTGGAAAAACAAACCAAAAAAAAAAAAAAAAAAAAACAAAAAACAACCAAACAGCAACAACAACAAACCGCCTATGGAGAAAACACGTCTCTTCTCCGGTTTCCTAAGCCATCTCATTCTGCTTTATAAAACTCCCCCTTAAAAAACAATCTCCTAAGACAGAAGTCACAGTGAAAACCTTCATCTCCCGAGACAGGCTGGCGATCAACTTTTCCCTTCGGGGGGAAAAAAAATGGTTCCTACCAACCACGAAATAAATATTTTTCGGTTTTAACTCTCCCCAACAAGAGGACAGCGATTGCGGCACGCGTTTTGCTTGTTTCTTTTCTTCTTTTAAACAGGCACTCACCGGGGAAGCGCATTCCCGGGAAGTGACCCCGGTGGTCCCACAGCTGCGCGTCTGCTCGGCTCTTCGCTCTCCGTCAGGTGAGGCGTCCGGGCGGCTCGGCGAGGCCCGGAGCCTCCGCACACGCCCGCCGGCGGCTCCTGCTGCGGCTTGTTTTTCAGGGACAGTGACCTCCGACACCTCGGAGCGCCGCGACGCGACCTGAAGGTTCGCGAGCGCTGGGAACACGTCACGTGCCGAGCCAACACCTTAAGAGGGTGGGGAGCTTTGCCACCAGGAAGACGTGCGGAAGACGCTCGGCTCGGGCCGCTGGTTTGTCGCGGGTCCACACGGGACACTGGAGTGGAGGGACCGATTCGTGCGGCCGGCAGCCGGGAAGGCGCGCGCCGAGCCCGCGCAGGCCCCGCCCTCTCCTTAGACTGAAGAGCTGGGCTCAGCAACGGCCGCCTTAGCGCTTCTGTGAACCAAATTCATTTTCCCTCCTGCTTGGGAGCTGACTTTTCTCCCCCCCTTCACCCACCTGACGCTTAATAGTCTTCTGATCTAACTGTGTCAGGGCTACTGATGGACAGAAAAGTAGTGATTTAAATTTATCGTCCCAGCCAAGGCGCGCTCTCCGCTCCAGCAGAACCACTGTGAAGAACTCTTTTGCAACGTTTAACTCATGGCTCTCCAGGTTCCCCACAAGGGACGCTAGCAGTTGATTGAAAGTTGGCTTTCAGTTGAACCAAGTTTCACAGTCCCGAAGAAGGGTTCTGAAGTGAGCGAGACACTGTTTGCGCTGGGACTTCAATTCTAAGAACAAACAGCCAACGTTCTGAACACCTAACAGGCTCTACACGGAGTACCAGATAACCAAGGCAGCCGGCGCATGATCTGGGTTAAACTCACCCTTTTGATCTCTGGGATTGAGGCTTAAGCGTCTCCTTCCCAGATCTTCTGAATGAGAACAGTGACGCAAAGGATGACCGAAAACTCATTCTGGGAGAAACAGATGGTTTTTGGTTCTTTAGGTTCTTAGACCTTGACGTCTGTAATTCCATCGGATCTTAAAAACAAACAAACAAACAAACAAAGCATTGATGAACTGCTGGAGGGTTGTGGCGTGCTTGCATACATACAGCCCTGGCTTCTATCGCCATCACTGCTAGAGTGGACCTGCCTATAATCCTGGCACTTGGGAGGTGGAGGCAGGCGTGTGAAAAGTTCAAGGCACACGTTACATTTTAGGCAGAATAAGCTACATGAGACCATTAAAAAAAAATTCGGATTAATGTACTTTCTGGTCATTTAAAATTTAAGATAAGTTATGACAAAGCTCAGTCTGGCTGGGGAGGCCAGGCTGATCTCAAACATGCAATCCTCCTGCCTCAGGACTGGAGTTACAGGCATCTGCTACTATGCCTGGCTTTCCGGTAAATCTAGGTGAAAGAAGGAAGGTGTGGCTTTTGTTTCCCTCTCTTTCTGAAGTCAGGGAGCAGTTAGCATCCCCATAAAAGCTCAGGAGTGAAGGGAAGCCAGAGCCGCTTCTCAGGGCCCCGTGCTGCCGTGGTTCTGCTGGGAGGAGAAGAGCTTTACACACAAACATCATGTGTTTCAGTATGTGTCACAGGCCACCGTCCACACGGGCTTCCTTGCTTGATGCCAGCTCTGTGGGTCTTTCTCATTACATCCTCTACATGGATGTCCAACATTTAGGGGGCACATTCATTTCATATCTTGCTGATCCAAATATGTTTTAGAAAATTTCACTTCTTTGAAATCATGGAGAGTTTTCATGTAACTTTGTTTTTTCCCCAAAGAAAGTAAATAAAAGGGAATGAAACCATTTAGAGTGTTCCTTATTCTTTGTGTGTGTGTGTGTGTGCGTTAATTACTTTTGTCAACTTTTTTAAAAAAGATTTTATTTATTTTGAAAGCTCTATATGTAAACCTGCATGCCAGAAGATGGCAGTAGAAGGTACAGATGGCTGTGAGCCACCATGTGGTTGCTGGGAATTGAACTCAAGACCTCTAGAAGAACAGACGGAGCTCTTAACCACTGAGCCATCTCTCCAGCCTGTGTTCCTTATTCTTTTTCAAAATCTATTCTGGTGTGGTATGTGATGTGTATTTTACATATATACAAATATATGTGAGTATGGACATATTTGAGTTATATGTGTATTCATGTAATACGTGTGTAAGTAAGTAAGTCACAGCGGCTGAAAACATTCTAGGCCTCGGTGAGACTGTACAGAGGCTAGAAGCTTCCAGGACTAGGCCTAGGGTTGCAGAAGGAGGCAGTAAGCCTTGGAGACAACAACAGAAGCAAGCGAGTAGAAGTTCTTTTTATAACATGTAGCTTTATATGTGAGCCTTCAATTTCAAGCTGAAAGCCATCAACACAAAGACCGTAATACCATAGTTCCTTTGTGCTGACTTTATAAACACCAGAGTTCAAGACAAGGCAGAGCCACCGTGGCATACATGTGGGCCCCATCTGAAAATGGGGATACGTGACAGAGCACTTGCTTAGCATGAAGCCCTGGGCTTGATCCTCCGCATCACAAGCACCACACACACACACACACACACACCTGAATTGTCCTTTCAGACCGATTGGCTTTTTGTGCGAGTTGGAGATTTTATCTATCTATCTATACTTTCAGAACCTGCCTCTTTGAGGAGGTTACCAGTGTTGACAGCGTTATGTAAAAGTAGTCGGCGAGACTGGTTCAGTAACAGGGTCGGTTCATGGTTTACTGTTTCTGACAGTTGACCGCCCTCACAGCTGTCCTGTGGAGACAGGTTTCGCCATCCTCATTCAGACTGGGTGAAGCGAAGTGACAGGCTGGCAGTCACAGCAGGCACTTGCTACAACTCACTGTGGAGTCTGCTGAGGCTCCAGAGGAGTGTCAACTCTTCTACACGCCTTCTTCTTTCCGCTATGAAACCCTAACCTTCTCTTCTCCTGCCTTTTCCTCTTCAACCATTTAGGTAACTGCTTCCTATGCTGCTGGTTAGTTCTCCGCCTTTCTTTCCTTTTCATGTTTTTTGGGGATGAGGTCTCATCCTGTAGCTCAGGCTGGCCTGAAACTTGTGACGACCCTCCTGCCTCAGCCTCTTGAGTGTTGGGATAAAGGCAGAAGCCACCACAGTCAGCTCAGGCCTGTTCTGTTTACTTTTAAGTCTTTAGTGTATTGATATGCGTGAGTGTAGGCGTGTGCATCTGTGCATAGCATGCTCTTACCATGTCATGAATGTGGAGGTCAGGGGAAACCTTACTTTATCAGTCTTCACCCTTCCATCGTCTCCTGGCATTTTGCTGCCATGCTGTCTGGCAGGGTAGCGAGTGCAGCTGTTTCTCCTGGCTGTTCTCTCTCCTCCCACAGGAATGCTGGGGTTATAGGCATGGCTTACTGTGCCCCGATTTAGGTAGGTACTGGGGATTTGAATTTAGACCTTCACACTTGTGCAGTAAATGTTTTACCTGCTGGGCTATCTCCTTGGCCCTTAGCCTAATTCTTAACATTCGGAATTTTATTTAATCCTCTGAGGTAGATACTATTCCCATTTAAAGATGAAAACCGTACTGAAGTTTATCAACAACAAATAATCTGATCATATTTGCAGAGAACTGTACTAGTCATTTTATCTGTCTGGTATGTGCTCTAGTGCAAAACTTTAGTCCTTTAGAACAGTCCTTAGGTGCAAACTAGTTAAATCGCAGATGCATGGATTCATCATCTATGATACTATAGCACAAGGCAAGGACAAGATAATTTAAAGCAAAAAATGTTTCTTTCTTACCATTTTTTGCCATCCCCTTCTGTAGCCTGAATGTAAGTGGTGGTTTTAACATCTGGTTAACATCTGTTTCATTGCAAAACTTCTTTCTTTGAATTTCTTCAAACCATTCACCAGTTGCTCCTTGAAGCCACCTGATATCCCTCTTTGTCTTTTGAAGTTTGCTGAAATAAAACAAAAATATCAGTGCACTATTCAAATCCATTCCTAACTAGAGCAGACTCATGTAATGAGCTGAACTTTGCATACTAGAGAGGCAGCCTAGGCTGACAGCTCAGGGAAAAGTTCTAGCCAGAGTCCCCTTTGATCATGCTGTACATATTTACACACAGTCTTCTGAATATGCTGTGGTCTTCTGTGTACAATGACAACCTAAAGGTTTCTGCTGGTTGTTAAAATAGTCACAGAGTGACAAGAAACCTGGCTGAGCGATGAAGCACCGAAATGATAGATGTCCTACCGACATGTAGAAACCGGAATGTTCCGGTTCTGGTTACTCATTCGCTTATTCATTAATACATTAGATGTTTATTGAGCAACATTTATCAACTAAGTGTTTATTGAGATCCCTTGTCGGCTGCGGGGAACGTAACAGATGGTGCCCTCCCCATCCACCTTGTTGCCAGCGACTGAAGCTAACATGTGGATTGTTAGTGTAATGGCTTTAGATGACGAAGCTTGTTGAACACGAAGGCACAAAAGACCGGGAATGAGAACAGTGTCAGTGCTCAGGCTGTAGAGGAGACAGTCGACTTTTGAGACAGATGAAAACACCATTCAGAGAACAAGTGTGTACACCTGGATATATGTTTGGGATTTCAGACCTGAATTCCTAACATGGCCTCTTTCCCCCCTGCTTTTCCTTCCTTAGCTGTCTTTTTCAAAGAAAGGTTGTTTTAAGTCCTTAACGAATTACTTTCCAGGATAAGTCATTTCTCAGGAGGACTCTAAAGAGCGTTTGGAACTGATGGGTGCTTAATTCAAAGGGAGATGGTCCTGGGTGAAGAGCATCAGGCCGACCTTAAAAGCAGATGGTTCAGCACTGACAAAAACTTCAGGTGTATTGGGCTTCCAAATTCGGGGAATTTCTAGTGTTTGGGGAATTATTTCAAGGTTCTGATAACTGTAATCTTTTATGCGAGGTCTTCTGAAAAGTGTGTTAGGGAGCGTGTGAGTGTGAATGTGTTGGTTTGGGATGAGGTCTTATTATGTAGCCCAGACTGGCTTTGAACTCATGGCTATCCTATTCCTTCAGTTCCTCAAGTGCTAGGTTCATAGGCTTGAGCCACTGTGCCTAGTTTTAGTGTTGGGTTTTTGTATTGCTAGAAAGGTGGCAGACAAGATGAAGGCCAAAGTGGCCACTTTGGAGTTAAAGCCAATGAACCAAGAGGGCTGTAACTCAATCCTGCTTGAGGCTACGATACTGCCGTTTTATAAAAAACAAAAAGTATTAGAGAAGCCAGGGGTCATCCTGCCCAGACTTGCATTTTGAAAAGCATTAGGCAGCAGCGTCATTATGTTCAGCCTACAGATTTGTGC